AATTAATCACTTAGGTAAGAAGTGTTTTAATGTGTACACTAATATAAATAAGAATCACTTACGAATATTGGATTTCGGGGCAAGTTGTCATATTGGTAACAACTCCGTGCATCAAGGAAACTAAATACTTTTAAGCAATTTGCTGAAATTCACTTGCCTAATGGGACTGTGCAAATTGAAACGCATGCAAGAAATATTGAGTCGAATGACTTTATTATCTTGTATGGTGTATATCTAACTTATGGTTTCAAATATTGTCTCGTATCAATGTGATAAAGCGTATATTATCCTATATATTTATAGATAAATTATAAATTATAATTAATATTTTGGATAGATTTCTACTCATTTTTGGCATATAATTGATTGGGCCAAGGGAATGGAGTGATTTACGACCATGTCAAATTTTCGGTCAAAGAATTATAGAAGTGTCTGATTTAAGCGTGCGGGCCAAGGAAACCCGTGATTTAAAAGGATGGTGGCATGATTATAGTCATGAAGATGGAAATGAGTAATCGAGGAGCGATTAATGAGTCAATTGAAAGCTTGATCGTGTATAAAAAGGGGGTCAAACCCCTGGATGAGATATCATGATTTACACATACATTAATTATCTTGAGGATTGGAAGCAATTGCATGAGGAAATATGTGCCGAAAGATCGACATTATCATTATTTATCGCTTTATACATTTAGTATGAATAGCTAGTTTTTCTTGTTACAGTCCAAGGTTGAATTTTGATTTCAGATTTGAAATTTTGAGATTCTGTTTTGATTTAAATTTAATCTTATTTATTAAATTTGTATTTGTGCAATTTTTGTGATTCATTCTTACAGTTCTTTTATTTAATCTTTTATCGCGACCGGATTTTTAGATTGGTTTAGTAATTGTATGCCAATCAAATATTTCATTCGTAATTGTGTACTTGTTTGATAAAGTGGTAAATAGGTTGACAAATTTAGCCTAGGAATTGCATATCAAATAATTTAATCTTTTCGTAATTGATATATTTGAATTGAATTTTTCTCGTGCTATTTTCAATTGAAGAAATTAATTTATGGTCGTACCTAGATTATTTCTTTGATTGGGGATGCGATCAATCGATCGTATCATTGCCGCCAATAAAGTAGGAAAAAATTGGATATTATGATCGTATCTAATGCCTATAACCAATTTATCAATTGAATAATAAAATGATTTAAAATCGATGATCGAATCTTTAATTTGGTTTTTTATTCACTCATTGGGCTAAAAATTTAATCTCATTGGAATCTAATTTTTATTTCTTGTCGCTTATTTTAATCAGTTCAATTGAAAATTTTAATTTATCCCTCAATACTTGAAATTGTGATATAACATGAATTAAACCTCACAGTTCCTGTGGGTCGACCCCGACACCACTTGCTACGCGGCGATTGTGGTTTAGGAGAATTTTTATTGGAAGTATCGAGGCTACCATAGTGCCAAGACCGTGTTTGGATTCTAACTTGTTTATAAGTTTCATGGCTAATAAATGCATAATTCAATAGGAAAGAAGTAAACTTGTTTTTTAGAAGAAAAAACCCAAATATTATTTATACTTATGAAACAACCCATGAAGGCACTAGATATATAAAAAAAAAAAAAAAAAAAAGGCATTGGCATCAAAGACTATGACATCCATCTAATAATAACCTTCCTTTATAAATGGAAGTATATATTTTTTAACTGTAATAGTTAATCATAGTTTGACAACTTAAACTTACCTAATGAAGTTAAAGTCACAAGCCTTAAAAGCATTTTTCATCTTCTTAAAATTTGTTGAAAATTAATTCAATACTAGGGTAAAAAATATGAGAACAAATAATAATGCAAAATTCTTGAGCTATATCCTTCATAATTTATTTCATGAATATGGAATTATTCATGAAAATGCTTGTCCTTATAAACTTCAACAAAATGGACAAGAGAAAAATAAAATACCAATATCTCTTAATTGTAATAAGGTCTCCATTGTATTACTTCAATCTACTTGCATCTTTTTGGGAAAGCTCTTTTAATAACAACATAACTCGTAAACATTTTTTCTACATTAGTGATCAAGTGGAAATGTCCTTACCAAGTGTTGCATAATACTAACTCAACATTTTTGCTTTGCCCGGAACAATAATTCTTACAAGTCAAAGCTTTACAAAATAGTTGTAAAAGACATTTAGGGTGTGCTTATATGTGGAATTTGATTTTTAATTTTATTATTCCAATTTTTTTTTTTCCAAAAACATTAAATCAAATATCTATTTTTTATTTTTTTATACTACACTAAAATTAAATTTTACATTCAAAACATCACATCAATACATATTTATATTACATCAAACAACTTCAATTAAAAATTTATCTATTCAAAACCAAAATCCAAAATCAAAATCTTATAAGAAACACACTTAAAAGGTATGGACAATGATCAAAGGGGTATCGGGTCTTGAACATTGAAATTGATAAAAGGTATGAACAATTGATCAAAGCTTCATGTACACTTCATAAAAATTTTCCTACCATCCTTAACCCAGACAAAGCATCATATAGGTTACTTTGTTTTAATATATTAACACAAATAAATATATAAAATTGATGGTGTAATTATTTTTTTTTCATTGTTGCCATCGTAATATACATTTTTTCATATAAATAATATTCATAAATATACACATTGCAAAATAACTTCAAAATCACCAATTACTAAATTTTAGTATTAGTTCAAAACTTTGCAACATATGACATTGTCTAAGAAAAAAAAAACATCAAATCATTTGTTACCCTACAGACAACATTTCAAAATGTCATAACAGCAACAAATGCATTTGTTGGTCTTATAAAAGTGTCCTTCACATTGCATTGTGTTTTAACTTTTATGCAAGATAATTTTATTAAAAAATACAATGGCAAGGATCTATACTCGTAAACATAATGAAACTTGTAGACAAATTCTTATACTTGAAGCCAATTAGCATTAGCTGTTATTCTCAGGTTCATGACATATCCAGTTCATATAAAAATTGCTCAATACCACCGTACCTGCAAAACAATTTTAAATATAGAAAACATTGCAACACCATCACATCTATAATGTCTAACCTATTTTCGAAAATCCCAAAATTCTATGTACCTCAAACACACCTGTAATGTTTAATTTTTTTTTCAAATTTTTTTTTAAAATAGACCACAATTACTTTGAGGGCCAATAAATAATTAAAAAATATTAATAAATATAATTATAATAATATAAATAATTATATATTACATTACATATTACATATATCCTATATTATTTCATATTAATAATAAATAAAATATATTCTCCACTTAGTAACATTAGATAGCGATTATATTTGAATAAATATATTTATCAAATTAAATTTAAATTAAGGGAAAAAAAATTAATTTTGGTTTCAATATAATAAAATTTATCAATTTTGGTCATAATATAAAAAACTCATCAATTTTAGTTTCATTATAAATAATTTCAATCAATTTTGATCATACCGGTTAAAAACTAACGGAAATTGCTGACATTGACGTAACGGAGTTGACGTGGTAACTGATTTGGAAAGTGATTTGGAAAGTACACAGTCATGTACAATTATGCACGACCATGTATATTTCAGTGTACACAATTGTGCACGACGTATATTTCAGTGTACAATTATACACGGTCATGTATAATTCTACACAACCATGTATATTTCATGTACAATTATACACGACTATATTATTACACATCTATACGGCCATGTATATTTCAGTGTACAATTATACACGATCATGTTAATACACGGTCATGTATAATTCTAAACGGTCGTGTACTTTTCTGTTTTCGTCTAAATTTTATTTTTTTCTTATATATCTTTTTTTAAAAAAATATTTTGAATTTAAAATAGTTGATATATTTAAAATTGAAAAAATCAATAGTAATCCTAATATAATTAAAAATTTTAATTCAAATAAAATATTTAAAAATTTGTTCTTTTTAAAGATTTTGTCTAAAATTCTATTATTTATAAAAAAAAATTCCTCTTATAAACATCCAATTATACGACTAATTTTTTTTTATATTATGTTAAAATTTTATTTTACATTTCTATAAAATTTCAAACAATTTCACTGTATACATATATAATTATATTGAAATGTAAAATTAATTTTTAATATTATAATATACAAAAATAGTAATGTAATTGTATGTTTTTAAAAGAAATGTTTTTGGTAAATAGTAGATTTTTTAACAAAATATTCCAAAAGAACATACTCATAAGTTTTTACATTTGAACTAAAATTGATACGTATTAATTATATTATGATTACTATTGATTTTTTATATTTTAATTACATCAATTATTCTAAATTCAAAAAATATATATATTTGTTAAAATATATAACAAAAAAATAAAATTTTACACCAAAACAGAGAGATACACGGCCACGCATAAGTGTAATAACATGACCGTGCAGAATTGTACACTAAAATATACATGACTGTGCGACAACATGATCGTGTACTTTCCAAATTAGCTGCTATGTCAACCTCGTTACGTCCACGTCAGCCATATCCGTTAGTTTTTTTAATTGTGAGACCGAAATTGATGAAAAATATTTATAATTAGACTAAAATTGATATTTTTTTTTTTATATTGGGACCAAAAGTGATAAATTTTAATTATATTAAAACCAAAATTAAAAATTTTTTTCCCTTAAAATTAATTTCCTATCAAATATATTAAATCAATATTTTATTATCACATCATTATTCATATAATATTTAGGAAAAAAATCAAAACAAGTTCGGTTGAAACTAAAATTAATCAATTTTAGTCCCAATATAAATTATATTAATCAAATTTTAATCTCGTCTTTACAAAAATAACGATGTGACATTTAATGTGGACTACACGGCCGTATATATATAATCATTACTTACACATCACTGAAAACACAGTCATGTTCAATCACCACACGGCTGTGTATTATGTTTTTTTTTTGTTTTCTTTAAATCGGAAGCCAGTTGTATTATTTCTTAATTGCAAGTCATTTGACCAAATCAAATCAAGATTGATTCATCCATTCAATTCCGACACATGTTTTTCTATTAATTTTTTCCCCAATCTTCAACAATCCAATAGGAAATCTAAGCAAAAATCGAAGCAGAAACCGCTACAATAAAGTGCTAAGAAAGTAAATATAGCCATTAGAAGAGAAAAGAGGAGCACAAAACAATGATGATGAAGATTCCAATATTAGGGATTGCGCGGTAGGCGGAGGAACCGAGGCAGGTGAAGGTGAAGAATCTTGCCATCTCTAGACACTCATGTTGCTACTAACAGAACAACCGCGAGGCAAACAGCAACCAGCAAAACAAAATTAAAGAACGCTTTCGCTCGATTGAACGGCAACAATTGCACTACGACGTCAACAATGTCAATGTATATCTTGACACTACCACTATCGTAACATAACTGGTAAGCGATCTAGCGGTTGAGGGAAAATTTTGGATGGCGGTGTTGATTCCACATATGTCGTTTCCAACGACGGCAATAGGGATTAAAATTTTGTAGAAGAGAGAAGATATTGCTGGTGAGAAAGAGATACCGGATACCATAGCCAGTGAGACCGAGAAAGACGAACCAAAAAGGGATATTGGCAGTGACAATGCCGAAAAACCAACCGAGGAAGTGATGATTAGCCATGTTGAGTCCACATCTTATGCCACATCAGGGTTTGTTACATCAACAATGATTGTTAATTTTGTAAAGATAAAATTAAAATTGATTGAAATAGAATATGTTTGTTTGGAAATTTGAATTTTAAGTTATAACTTTAAATAATAAAAATTTTAAATTGAAATAATAGTATAAAACGATATAAATAAATATTGATGTAATAATTTAAATAGTAAAAATTTTAAATTAAAATAGTTATATAATATGATATAAATAAATATAAATATAATATTTTGAAAGTAAAATTATTTCTTAAAAAATAATATAAAAAATAAAAAATAAATATTTAATTTGATATTTTTGAAATTTTTTTTGAATAAATAGTAGATTTTTTGCCAATCCCTAGACAAACACACCCATAGTTTATATTAGAACCAAAATTGATTAATATTAGTTTCAACGGGACTTGTTTAGATTTTTTCCCTAATATTTATTAGGGCACCTCCGCCCAAAAGTAAGTCACATTTTACTATTCAAATAAAAAGCTTTTTAGTAACAGAGAAAGTATAATATTACCGTAAAAAACATCTTTAAACTCTGTTATCCATAAACACCTTTGAAAGCGCGATATTTTGTAAGATTAAAAATTTTCAAATTCAAAAATCTACAAACCAAAATAACTTGAAAAATTCTTATCTGAACGAAGAATGTTTCTGTGTTGTTTTCGGGACCTAATGGTGTGCAGATAGAAAGAAAAATTGATCAGGATAGCCACATTGCAATATTGCACCCAAGCCATTATGCTAAGAGGAATTGACAAATGACAATCCCCCAGAATTGGCCAAGGGCACAAGGTTACAACTCACAAAATCAAATCAAGAACCTCTTACATCTCATAAAAACATATATTTAGGGCTAAATGGAGAGAGATAATCCAAACATGTTTGAAGACGAGATGTAATTGGAAAAAACAATAGACACCCCCTCAAAAACAGAAGATTATCAATGCCAAAATTAACAGACAGAATCCGAGATTTGCTCAATGAAACAATACACTGCACTCACAGAAACTTCTGCAAATAACTCAAATCAAAGTTAAAAGATGAGAAGCCCTAAATATTGTAAAGGCAAGGCTTCAGTGTGTGTAACAATAAGATCCTGGATTAATTGAAATAATCTCACTGAAATCCGCTAAGATAATTGCTTATCATCATTAGCCAGAAGCAAATTTAAAAAAACACACACAAAACGATTTTATCTTTAAGAAAGATTCTAATGCGTGCTCAGACAGCCAAGGGTTAGTCTTCAACTGCAAGATCAGAAACTCTAGTCCATATAAATATGCATCCTCACGGCACACAAATTAACCAAGATATGAAAAAAAAAAAAAAAACCCAAATCACCACACAACTCGGACAGAAATGCAAAACCATTTGAATCGAACTTTTACCGAGGTGCACATTACAGTCGACAAAGGAAACCCTACGTAAAAAGTCCACATAAGGGTAGAATCAACCAAATAGAATCCAAATGAAAAGATAAGTTCTAGCCAGGTATCTATCTAACTTTTCTCTCACGTCTCACCCTTCTCTATGGTCCTTGCTTCCTGCAATGTGAAATATAAATATAACCGTCGTAAAATGAACAAACACTACTTCAAGGCAGAGACATGTACAAATCCAGCCATCAATTCACCCGAATTTAAGCCTACCATTACAGCAGAGGGAAAAGAAAGAGAGGCGGCAGAGAAGAAACACGAAGAAGATGAAAAAGATGAAGGAGCGGGGAGGGGCGGCGGCTGCGTGTGCTGGTGTAGGTTAGGGTGTGGTACATTATATAAGGAGGAACTATGTCAAAATACATTTATACACTTTTATTTCTTTTTATTTTATTTAATGACTTCAAGTTTATATGACGTGGCCGAAAAAACTTTCATTACTTTCATAAGCGGAGCAAGATAAGTCCACGTGGTCCAAAGAGATTCAGTGCAAGCGAGTCCATGGATACAATATCCTTTTAGCCAATCAAAACACACTTTCCGCATCCGAGGATCAAAAATTTCTAATCCAACGGTGAAAAATGAAGGATGCATTACACCGAGACACACACGATCATCTTGAATCTTTTCCATTTCCACAACGGTCGCACTCTTATCTAACGTAGTTCGTTGTCGGCGATGGCCTCCCACTCCATAATCACCGGCGGTTTCGGGATTCCGGCGAAGAATTTGAGAAAATTGGATTTGGATTTGTGCGGCGGGCGGCAGATTGGTTTTGGGGGGAATAATTCGAGCAGATTGAGGAGGAATAGGAGGTTTGCTGAAGTTTCCGCCATGGGCGCTTCTTCATCTTCTTCGTCGAATCAAGTCGGAAATCAACGTCTGTTTTTTTTCTCTATCACTGAAAACGTTTCGTTTTTTCTGCGCCTATCGATTGAATATGTGTATCACGTTTTAAAATTTCTTCCGATACTTCCTGGAAGAAGCACTGTGGTATGAATCATCGAAGGAGAAGAAATAATTGTGTGTTCTGGAAACGATTTCTTTGTTAGTTTTGAAAAAATTGATTTGGTATTTTACTTTTGAGTTATCCCCTGCTTTTGAGCGAGAAAAAGGAAATTAAACTGTGAGTAAATCATCACTTATTGTTTCCATTAGGTTTTCGTTTTGGAATTAGAATTTCATACTCAAAACTGTTCCATCCAATGTGTGTGTCTAATACCAAAAACATAGAACTAGCCAATTTACATGCCATTGTTGTTAGTGGTTGTTACCTTGAGGGCTCTGATTATTTTCATCTTGTCTATTTTGTCATTTTTTGAGGAATTGTAGGATCAAGAGTAGTGTCAAATTTTGGATTAATCAATTCAATGAAAAGTATATAGTCCTCAATTGTAGATATGCACAGCTGCTTGATCTCATGCACAATGGCAATGCAGAGGGTGCGGGTACGGGCACGAATTACAGCTCAATAAGTGATGAAGAGTGGAAGAAACAGTTGACGGAGCAGCAGTTTTATGTCACCAGGAAAAAGGGTACTGAGAGAGCATTCACTGGGTAACATTCCTACTTTCTGTATCCTTTAGGTTCTTCAAAAGTAGTTCTGCTGGAGATGTTCTAAATGATCTTTTCCAATACATGGAGGTTATAGATAGTGTTTTTCTTCTTTTTTTTTTTTTGTTAATTAGATTGGGGCGACGCATGATCATATATAGTGAAAGTTAATAGCATGACTGGTTGACGGGCTAAAAAGCATAAATTTCTTGTGGTTTCATGAGCAATTTTTAAAGTTTTATGGAACCTTCCTGTGCAATTATATTTGTGGCACATTGTGCTTGGTTATTAGTAACAAGGAGATTTTGTGCAATGCAATGCTCACCTGTTAGTATACACGAAGGGATTTTGCCGAATAAATTACATCAATGATGAGTGTGTGAAGCCACAAGTGGATTTTGTGGAAGTAACAAACAAATAAATAAATAAATAAACAAGGGGAGGTGTGTTGATGATAAGTTTTCAAACTGCATGGTCTTTGGGACTTTTCCTGTAGCTGTTTGATCAAGTCCAATCGACAGTGTCTGTAAAGTCTTGTTCAGTAACTGATGTGATGATACTGCTTGGACTTTGTTAGTTTCTTTCGGTTTGGTAAAACTGCTAATGAGTCGAACCGAGCCAAACTTGTTAAATTTATGCTCGTCATGTTAAGAGCTTGGCCTATGTTATTGTTTGTTTATTAAGAGATACAAGCTGAAATTCTTGTTTAAGGTCAATTATTTTTTTACTGTTTATTTTTTGTATCAGTTCAATATTGCTAGTTAAGCATTTTATATTAATTTGAGCTTAAATTAATAAATTACAAACTATTAATATTATTTTTATTAAAATATAATGTTATAAGATGTATATTTTATAAAGTATAAAAATATTAATATGATTCCGTAACTAACACTATCAAATTGGTGACTAACTGAACCGAGTCGAGCCAGTGAACAGCTCATTTGTTTTATAGTACAACTATTTGGCAATCAGCTTTTACATGCAATGGGAGGATTATCTTGCTTACTAGAAGTCATGAATTCCCATAGCTTTTAGTTTGATCAAACTGATTCATGCTTCTTAAAACTAAAAATTGTTGGTCAGGAGATCATGAATTCCGAAATAGACCTCTTATGTTCATGCGCTGCATTTTTTAAAAAATTAGTTTAAATGAAAGTCTTCGAAATAATCTACCGAAAGGGAACTGTAGAACAGATTAAAAGTGCATGTCAAGCTGCTAAGGGATAATTCCGAGTATGGTTTTATGAGGTAGTTTTGTTACATTTTATTTCTTCACATAATGTCCTGTAAGTTCATCTTCAGCGAGTATTGGAACACCAAAACCCGTGGAACTTATCACTGCATCTGCTGCGATGCTCCTTTATTCGAGTAAGCCCACTCCATCTTCTCCCCTAACAGCTTCAAATACATTCACACTTGTGTTGAATTTACTGCAATTAAATATTTCAAGATTTAATGGTCTCTGCATGATTGTCCCAGGTCGTCCACCAAGTTTGATAGCGGAACCGGATGGCCCTCTTACTACAAACCTATAGGGAACAACGTGAAGTCAAAGCTGGACATGTCGATAGTGTTCATGCCCCGCCAAGAAGTTCTGTGTGCAGTCTGCGATGCTCATCTCGGCCATGTGTTCGATGATGGCCCTCCACCTACAGGAAAACGCTACTGCATCAATAGGTTTTGTGTTTTTTCTTGATACACTTAATCTTTCCTGTCTGATTTCCGTTTTCTAACATTCCATGCGCCGTTGTGGATTTATGTGTCGAATTCTCTCGTTTTCAGTGCTTCACTCAAGCTGATCCCGGAGACAAAATAGGCAGTACCCTTCTTAGGCACTCACCATTACAGTAAGCTGTATTTGTGCACTTTCAAAATGTAGCCTTGACATTCAAACGGCACCATATTGTCTGCTTGTTAGGCACGAAAATGCGACATAATATGGGGTTATTTATAATTATAGCGAAGTTTTATTATCTTCCTAGATGTCATTTACACATTATGCTTGCAGCATCGAAAAGTAAATTATGCATACGCCATGAATTATGAGAGTATAACTTTATATGCCATGTAAACATTTGGTTTAATTTTATTAATTAATTTATATTATATTTTTATATATTAATTAATATTCAAATATCAACGCGCAAAAAATAAATAGAACCAGTCAGACGGAGCCACCAATGCCGGCATTCAACTAAGAGATGATAGATTTTTTTGTCATGCCAAAGGCACCTACTACAAGATTTTTTTCACAAAATTAAAGGCTTAGGTTCTGCAAAATCCAAAGACAAATACTTTGTTTAGACAAAAGACTTTTGGAGAATTTTGAAGTTTTGAAAATTTAAAAGTAGTAAAAATTACAAATTTTATGTGTTTGTCTTTCTTATATCATATATTCAATTTCGAAAACAAACAATTTAAACTTTTGTGTACTTGTATTGATTTATAGTATATAATAACATGAATTTGAATAAGTTTGTTTGGTTTGAATTTGAGTTAGCATTTTATAATTGAATTTTGATTTTATGAGTAAAGTATTAATATGTTTTTATTAATAATATAAGAATTGCAGAGTGTAAAAAATTCAATTGATTTGGTGGAAAATGGATTGTACATAATAGTAATACAAAGGATAAAAAGAATAATTATTTTGTTATTTAATTATGTTCAATTTCAATGTATTCGATTTCGTATCTGATTGTATTTTTTATTTTAATAACAAAATATTTTTATACTTAATAAACAATATTACAAGCACTTACATTTGCGCCTAAAAGAGAACCATAAAAACTCTAGGCATATGCGTTTACATATGTTATTAATTAAGTTATTTTTTACTTGTATCTTTATTTTTTTTATTGAGAGCAATAGATCAATTTTTTTTTTTTTATTATTATTATTACTCCCTCCGTATCAAATACCATGTCCACTTTATGGTTTCTGTCTGTCCCATTCATGTCATTTTTTTTTTTTAAAATAATTACACACTTTAATCTCATTTTAAATTTTTTAATTTTATTCTTTTTAATTTTAATTAAACTAATTAGTTATTTTATAATTATTTATATTATAGGATAATTATTTTCACTAATACATTCTTAATTATCTACTAATTAAACTCTTCCTAAAATACCGTGTGTAGCAGACACGGAGGAGTATTATTGAATTTGAATAGTTATTTGATGTGATATAAATAGAGATTAATACGATATTTTGAATATAAAATAAATTTAAAGTATAATATAAAAAAAAATCATTTGATTTAATTTTTTTAAAAAAATAAAATTTAAATATAAAAAATATGTGATAAAAGCAGCAAAAAACACAAACTTGTAGTTTTTTTTTTATTTTTATCTTGATTGAATTTAAAATTTTTTATTTAATAATATTTTAAGTTATATTTTGCTATATGAATTAATTTAGAGAGAAACATCATATCTTACCAAAAAATTGAAAGTGTAGGCGCAGTGTGACTTGTCTGTAGGCCTAGTTTGCACGTATTGGGTTTCGATAAAAAATTTATTCGCAATTTCAGATAACGGCTACGGATTTTCAAATCATAAAACTGCAATTTCAAATAACGGCTGCGGATTTCCAAATTATAAAACTAATAATAAATAAATAAATAAATTATTGACAGTGTAGGTGAACTCAATAGATACACTGTACTTTTGCACCTATGGATGAAATCACATCACATGATTGGGCAGTTTGTAGGCGCGAAGCAGAGGATCAAAGCCCGAAATTTGAAGCGGGGAAAAGACCAGAACCCGAACTGCCGAAGACTCTGCCAACCGTTTATTAACAGCCGTCGCGCTGCTCCTCAACACCTCTACTCAACTCTCCACAACTCTACTCCAATTCCAACTCCCCACGAATCAAAACCCCCGTACAGATTCAGATACGGATACAGATTCTCAATTCTGGAAATCATACCCCGCTCCAGCAAAGGATTTTGCTGAATACGCTTCTTCCAGAGGGTTTCTCGATCAAGACAAGTTTGGGGGAGATGGAGGGCGTTGGTGTTGCGGAGGAGACCGGTTATGTCTCGCTGAAGGATTTCAGAGTGGTGTTGGGAAAACGCTGTGGTGATTTTGTTGCGGAAGAGGCGGATGGGTGTTTCGCACTCTGCTTTTGGCTTTACATCGATAAATGCGCTTCTTATCCATCGCCAATTTTGAATCAGGTTTTAGATTACTCGTGTTTTCTTGTTTTATTTGTTTTGGTTTGATTCCGCTTTAGGATTTATCAGTTTGTGTTTGCGTTGGGGTGTGCTTGATTTGATTGTGGTGTTTGGGATTTTGGTAGGAAGGAATGCTTTAACCTTGAAATTGATTATTATGGTTTTAGCTTAATCTTGTTTTCCATTTCGTAATGGAATTCTGGTTTGGCTATGTTTCTTAAATTTAGTGTCCTAAGAGGCTTGGTGGCGGATTCTATCTTCACTGTGACATTGGTTTGGACAATGAGTCATGTCCATTGGTGTTCTCAGTGTTCCGGCTGGATCGAAATTGAATTTTTATCTTTGCATGTTGTGAGTGGCTTCTGAAGAACTTGAATTTCTTTTAGTGCAAACGAAAAGATTCGACCTATATGAGATTCATGTGGATAATGAGTATCTTATGGAACTTATGCGCTTCTTTGGTATTGCCTTAAATTTGTAGTCATATACATATATACATAGATTTAATTTTATGTACTGTGCAGAAGCATCCGGGCATAGATGATGGCGCCCCTTTCCTTTGGTTGGATGAAGAAAAGAAACTGAAACTCTCACCGGTTCTGTTACTACATGAAGAAGCTTGGGGTCTTAGTATGTCCATGCTGAGGATGACGGCTCCATGTGCCTCCTCTCCAATTGAGTTTCCAGTGAAGAAATGGGTTTATGTTGGGTGTGAGGTATGGGCTTTTGCTGCTGAATTGTTATTGTTAATAGCTCACTATCTGCGAATGTCATGATAGATCAACGTGTTTTGTTAAATTTCTGATTCGCTATTGCAACTTTTTTCGTTGCGAGTTAGCAATCTTTCCTTAATGAATTGGGAAAGTTAGCTTTTTTTATCTTTATTTCCTGATTTCTTGTTGCATTTACTTTTTTGGCTCAAATGATGTTTGCATTGTGCAGAATGTAGGATCTTGAATGGAAGGTGTTGCTAATTTTTATGTTGATTTTGGGCTAAAAAAGGTTGCTAGTTGTAAGACATATTTATTTTAAGACGTCTTCTGTAATCCTACCTGTTAAAAGCTAGGGAAATTTATCTACCTTATCACATGTTTGCCATTTGCGACTATGATTCATGATTAATTGAGGGCCCATACGTATAAGCTAACTTATGTGATAACTGATTTGATCCCGCTGTGCAAAATATATTTAACAGTCAAAATTGGTTATAATCCCCTTCAATATGGAAACATGCTCTTATGGGTTCACTATTGACAGTTAGGTCATATCGATCTCCATCCTCTATTCAGTAGTTGAACTTGTACGTAAGGGGTGTCAGTTCTTGTCTGTAATCCTCCAAATATTCCTTAAAGCACTGTTCTCATGTTCTAAAGTGTTCTTTCCTGTCTACTATTTCTTTAGCTTGACTGATTTTCACAAATAGTATGATACATGTTACACAATAAGGTGAGAGGGTAAAGCCATGAGAATCTTCTATATAGAGAGAGATTATATAGATACATAGATTTTTTCCTTAAAACAAATTTAAGCTTGAAATTGTATAGAGAGATCATACTGCCATCTAACATGGCAATGCTTTTCAGTTTGCATGGTCTTGAATAATTGAGAACGATTTTACACTAATGCGATGTCATATCTGGTGTAATCTGTTAAAGATAGTTACAGCATTGAATTAAACAACTGATGATAAAAAACGGAAACTTCTCACTGCCTATTTATTTATTTTTGTCAGTTAGATGCTATCGTATTTTCTTTGTGATGCCTTGTTCAACTATTTATTTGTTTAAATATTCTAACTTGTAAGTTCTGCAATCCTTTGCCTGTATAGGTCTTACCCAATTACGTGAGGCTTCATGTGGATGGATCAATTGTAGGGGAGAAGCCTTTGTCGTGCTCTAACAAGAGCGCATGTGCAGACATTATGGGAAAACTCTCTTTGGCATGCCCCTATGAAACTGAGGAAAACTTGCATGGCTACATTCATGGACATGATGTCCTGTTTCAATCACCTGATATTCAACACCATTATACCAAGGTTTTGTTTTGTTCCATCATTTATTATGCTTATTTTTTGTAGTTTCATAACCACCTATTTCAATGAATTCAGGATCCTCCGGTGCATCTATCTATTGATGATTTGAATGCCTCTGAGATCGAAGAAGATAGTGATGGCGTGTGGAGCATTGTTGGTGGAAAGGTTGAAATTGTTTTATAATTGAATTGCAGATTGATCTTTTGCTACTATACTCACACTGTCACTGATATTTGTAATGTTCTTAGGCCTCTTGCCGCAGAATCTTTTCAATGGACATCACGTTAATGGATGCATTGGGTTGTCCTGTAAACAGAGAATTAGAGGTTTTTCATTTTTTATTTTTATACTTTTTTGTCTCTTAAGCTCAAACTTTTGCTTAAATTTATACCATCTTTTACAAGGTTGTAGCATCCCTCGTGTATGCTGACAATGAGGTGACAGTTGAAGACACTGCTGATGCAGAGCCACCGCTTCTCATGAGTTATGATGGGATCGAATATGCTTGTCGTGATAGACCATGCAAATTAATCAACGGCCGTGCTTCTTTTAAGCTTAAGATATCTCAAGTAAGTATCATTTGGATTTCTAACTCATGTTTATATTATCTTTGTTTATGAAATTAGATCATTATTGGAATCTGTTAAGTTTGTTTCTGACAAATCCCAATTTCAAACACCTCTTCAAACTTGAGTTGTTCTCAACTCCTAAGCAACAGGATATCTTTGTCCGGTTCTAGAGTCAATTCCCTGAACAGGTCAAAGGTGGTATTTCAAGAAATAAGATTACTACATTCTTTCTGAGTTCAGATTCCTTTTTTCTATTTCAGCTTTCATCGAAGTGCGACAACAGGCTGTTTCAGATTATGTTCCACATACCTCAAATGGGGAGATATCCTTTCTTCAAGGCTCTCTCTCTTCCGATCCGCTGCATTTCACGGAGTAAGACTTCACGGACAGTTGCTCTGACATCGAGAAAGTCTTCTAACAGGAATCATTATATCAATCGATGTGAATCATCCAGTCTTGATGATGGTTCCATGGAGCTTGTTCCCAATATCATACGTGAAGCCAAACCAAGCCCGTCGTCAAAGCGGATCAAACTAGGAAATGATGTCCCACTCGCAATGTTCAAAGAAGAACTGAAACAAGCTAACAAGGGACATGGCTCTATTGCTTTAAGCAGTAACGGGGTATAGCTTTTTGGGCCATTTCCTTTGCTTATATAATGCGTAAACCAGAATTATGAATATCATATGTTAATGATACTCGTCTTCTTAGTCTTCTGCATGTTTCTTTTTCTGACTAACACGTTACGAACACACACACACAGTCCTCGGTATATTCATTTCAAAGATTCTGAACCATTTGTTGGAAGTAGGACGATGCACACGAGATGAGCATGAACCAGAGGCCTGATGACCAATACATGGCTGAGAACAACTCATCGTCTTCCGATAATGGTGACACTACTAACTGTGGCTTGAAAAGTATTCCGAGTCCAATTTCCGATTTGATAATCTTCAAATACTGTCTCGGAAGTCTTGCTGAGAGATTCCACCTGCTCAAGGAAATTGCTATTACAGCTAGTGAAGAGCAGCTAGAGAATTTTGCAAAGCAGGTTTCTCTATTTTCTGGGTGTCTCCATCACTGGTAATTTTCTGACTCTATTGGATTTGTCGGGCCATTCTTTTATGCAATTCTTTCTCAGTGCATTCATTAGATTTCAACAACACAAAAAGCCTTTGTATTTTAATTATTGAAATTCTACTTCGTGACTAACCTTAACCCTCTACTAGTCTAATTGCTTTACCTATGAATTATTTCGTTATAAAGCATGAAATGTGGGGAAACGTTTCTAGTTTCACTCTTTTTTAAAGGATCAGAAGAATGAGCTAGTTTATTAATTAAGAAACATTAAAGTTTATCATGTGCAAATTCCTTAGGATACCCTAATAGTAGTTGTATTGCCGATATAGCGGAAAAAAGATGTTCTTTAATTGTACACAAAAGTGTACATTCTATATAAATTGTTTTGAGAAAATAACGCAGTCTTGCTATTTGTGGATGCCGATTTGATTTATCTATTGGTGGCTTTGCCTATTCACACTTTCATCGTTTCACTTCTCTGATAAATCCATGAAGAAAACATTCTATGTTTTCTAGGCACCAAATACGAATGGCAAAGAGATTGGTGGAGGAAGGAATACAAGTTTGGACTTCACTACCTAAAAATGATGACCACCATGTTCCTTGGGAGAATCTAGTCCTCGAAATTAATGATCAATTCATGAAGATAGCTGGCTGTACTCGTGCGTTGACTATTCAGGTTCATTCCTCTATTCTATGAATATATTGAATCTTTTGACTGTAATCTAGTGTATATTTCATATACAGGGTCTCTGGATCCCAAGTAAAATTTTGAATTCATGGAATGTATATTAAATATTTTTAAAGTGAACCTAATAAAAAATTTCGGAAGCAATGTCTGTTAACTGTCTGAATGGCTTAAATTTATAGGACTTTGAATGTCTGAGGAGAATTGCCGGATGTAGGAATAATCTTGTGTCCCAAGAAGATTTCGAGAGAATATGGTCTTGGCTATATCCGGTCGCCTTTACTTTGTCTCTTGCCACGGTTAAATCAATGTGGAGTTGTACGTTCCCGGTATGGATGGAAGGGTTTATCACAAAGGAAGAAGCCGAGACAGCACTTCAAAACTCCGGAGGTCTTCAAGACCCCGGAACATTTGTTCTACGGTTCCCTACATCAAGAAGTTGGCCTCATCCGGATGCAGGCAACTTGGTTGTGACTTACATTGGCAGCGACTACACAATTCACAACCGGTTGCTTTCCTTAGATTTCATTATCAGGTTCAATTTTTATTTGTTTCCCTGCTCCAAATTTTATTCCTGAAGCAATTTCTCTTGCTAAATTTGTCTTACTGTTTTTTTTTTTTTTTTTTTTTTTTCTTGCAGTTCTTCCTCTTGTAAAATGACTTCAAAACTATTACAAGAATTGCTCCTTGAAGAGCCTGAGCTCTCTAAATTGGGAAGGTATGCGCGCGCGCACACACACACACATATATATATATGCACATGCACAAACACATGGTGATGTTGACGATCTGGTTCATTCGTGTATTTGTAGGGTGGTAAGGAATCATCTGTAGGTGTTCAAGATTTCAACTGCACGGTAGTAAATTCAGGAATCTCTTGCTCTAGCAATCAATGGGGTGTGCATATCGGTCGGTATATATGTAGGTACATTATTTATCTTGTGCTCCAAATGCATGAAGAAGATTAGGCTTAAATTCCTCATCGTCGTCGTCTTATCTTATTTCTAGTATTCGAAAAATGCTCTGTGAGAATGGGACTGTTGTTTGCTATATATCTAATCTAATTATGTTTTAGATTTTGTTGATGGTTTAGATTCGAGAAATGGAAGATTTTCTAAGTTATTGTGAGAGGATAAGATCTGGTGGTGTTGAATGTTCTTGATAGTTTGTTAATTACACATACTGATGGTTATGTTTGATAATTTATTGACTTTTTGTATGCTTACATTTCTCTTTTGTGAAAGTTTACTTTACTTTGGGATGTTAGTTTTGTCGAACTTTGCATTACTTAGAACCTTGGCCTTGGGGGCTCTGAATTTTTTTTAAAAAAAAATCTTCCTATAGAACATAACATTAAATATTTAAACTTTTTATTATTTAAAATAAATTTTAAATTTCAAAAATTTCTATTCAAACGAAGCTTTGTCTCTGTTTTTAAATTTTTTATTTAGATTTTTGTTATTTATGGAAAATTTTTCTTTAGAAAATACTCCATCTGTCCCAGAACTGAACTATATAGTTTTAATTGAGTTGGATAAAGAATTTAAAAAACGGACAAAAATAGTAAATATAAAAGGAGTATTAAATAAAATATTATTTTTTATATAATATCAAATTATTACTAATCGCTGTACATACGAATACCTAATTAAAAAATATATTAATAAAAAAAAAATGGGAGTATTAATCATCAAACGCATACATTACAATTGATTGCACACGTCTTTAGAGAAAAATATATATTAACAGAACATAGATAGATGAACATCCGACATATCACACCCTTCGATTCAAATCATTGAGCCAATGCAGGTAACTAGGAAAACATCATTGAGAATAACAATGACAACATAACATGGATACATTTAAGAAATGGGCCACAACTTATACATAATAAGCACATAGATAGATAATGAAATTGTCAATTGCTTTCTAAACACCAAAATCTACCATCACTCTCAGCCATCTAGTGCAAGTTTTGAAAGTAATTATCTATTTCTTTAACCACAAAAGGTTCGTGACTTTCCAAGACAGGGGAGCTAAATCTCACTGAAATTCGAATAGCCATAGAAAAATATTAGATGAGATTTAAATACTAACTCATATGCATAAGAAAGCTCAAATGCTCGATATATTAACACATTCCCAAACATAATAATCACCAAAAAGAAGCGACTTGAAAAGAGTCCTATTCCAGAATATTTGAATGTATCCACAGTGATCAATCAACAGCCATTCTTATATGAAGATATCTCAACAGTCTCACATCCAAAATTCTGATTTCAAAAGGTAATAACTGCAAAATAACACAACAAAAAAGGTGGGTGATAAAACAGCATAACTCCAACAATCATCTAGCAAACTTCCCTAAATAATCAAAACTTTTTGCATTCAACAATGTAAAAGGGCAATTAATTCGTCATTCCTTACCAATGCACTCCTTGACATAATTCAGAAGACTATAATAGTACCACCTAAAAACCCATTGCAGATATTCGAGACCTATTTAGACGATCTCTTCTTGTGTTTGCCATTCTTGACCCCGACAATTCCCTCATTCGACTCTTTATCAAGTTTACTCTTTTTATTTGCCTTCACTCCACTTGTTACCCCAATTTCCTTCCCTTTCTTCCCTAACTTGGCCTTTTTCTTCGCCGGCTTCTCCATATCCTCCAGGCCATTGCCTTTCGACGTATTAGCCTTGATCCTTTTACTGCGTCTCTTCTCCGGAAACTCATTTCCTTCAATACTTTTCTCCCCCACAAGTTCATCAATTTCCTCATTCCTCGCTTCCTCGATGTCATCCAACTTATCATCGTCACTTTCCACGTCTTCTCCATCATCCAACTCATTGTCTTCATCGCTCACTGCAACCTCTCCATCGTCCATATATCGAACCTCATGAATCCTCCCTTTATTCTTCTTCTTTTTCTTAATCTCACTATCTCCATCCTTCTTTTCGGCAGCATCTTCGCCCTCGTCCCCAATTTTCACAACAGCAACTCCATCTTCTGTCCTCTTCAATCCCTCAATCTTCAACTTAACATCAGGCATTGCCTGGTAAATAGGCAGCGAGACCGAATCGAAAAGCTTCAAATGCAAGCTCCTAACACCATCCCACTTCTTCGGCACATTCGCCACTGCTCCATTAACGGCATCGATTACATTCTCAATAATTTCGTCTTTCTCCATTGCTACTTTCCCCACCTTCATCACAGAACAAGTTCCAGTCCTCACGAGCAGCAGCGCACTCCCTAAAGCCCTCTCCACCTGCGACTTCAGATTCTTCTTACTCAAATCCACCGGCAATGGCAGCTTCTTCTTCCTGAAGAATTCCTTCCCAATCAACTTGGGCAACAAATGGACGACTCTCCTGTCCACCAAAAACATGTCGTAGCTGTTGCAAAGCTTCCTCTTCGCCTCAAACGCCTTGTAGTTGGCCTTAAGCTTCGAAATCTTAATGACCTTCGATATCGGTATGTCCTGAGACTTGATTAGCTTTTTGATTTGGTCCGACGGCGGAGTGGGCGACTGAGGCCTGTCGTCGACGATTAAACAGAGCTCGGAACTGCTGTCTAAGATCGGGTGAGAGAGAGGTATTTTGTAGGGATTAGTGCGTGACCTGGAGGGGATTTTCTTCATTGTAAGGTTGAGATAGATGTACTCGTCCTGAGGAAGAAGCTGCGGCTTCTCGCCGGCGGACTGGGCGGCCTTGTATTTCAACAAGGCGGCGACGGCAGATTCTACGGTTGATTTAGGCACCCTGGAGGCGGACACGTCGGCCGCCGCCACGATTTTGGATTCGCCGGCCATTGAAAATCAATCCTTTGGAACTTTGAACTTGAGCAGAGCGGCGGCCGTCGATGAAGGAAGGTTGGCCCTAAGCGTAGCTGTAGCCGTTTGGTTGATATTTTAAGGATGGACTTTTAGTGGGCTTAGAATGTGGGCTGGACTTTTGTGTTTTTATTATATGTTACAACTTGCTTCGATTATAAATTACTCTATTTTAAATGGTACTATTATTTTTTTATCTTTTAGGGAAAAACAATACCGTAATTTTTTTTTTACTGTATGCATTAAAAAATAATATTTTAATAAAATAAATTTATAGTATTTAATTATATATATATTAATTTTTATACAGTAAATATCAATTATTAATGCAAAATTTATTTAAAATAAAAAATATCGTAGAAATATTACATACACGTATATAACTATAATAAATTTATCTGTAAATTAAATTTTGTTATAATTAATATTTTTTTTAAAAAAAAATAATAACAATAAAGTATATTAAAATAATATAACAATAGATAGACATATAAAATAATATTATAGATCAGACACATAAAATAATATAACAATTAAATATATTAAAATTAAATATATTAAAATAATATAACAATAAAATAATATTATAGTATTTTTGATGTGTGATGTTAGAAAATAGATCAGACACATAAAATATAACATTATTTTAAATTGAATATTTGATTTTTATCAATTTTTATACCGTAAATAAATATATTTAAAGTTATTTTTTTAACTTTTAAAATTTTGTATAAAAATAGTTTGTATTTATTATTATTATTTTTAGGGATCGTAATTCAAAAATATCGTTAGAAGAACAAAGCCTTTATAATACATCTATTAATACCTCACAAATTTCATTCAGTGTTTGACCTAATTGTTGTTTAATGTCACTGTGTTTTTCTTTGAAATCGCAGCTCTGAAAGCTAGAAAATACTTCTCCAAAAACTTCTACTTCATGTCATTTATGTGCCAATGCTTCTTGTTGGGATGTAATAGAGTCAATCATTTGCTACGTCTTTGAATGAAAATAGGAAAGCTGAATCTAATCTGTTCATTCGTAACAGCTGGCGGTTTCACGTTGGAACACAGTATATCAAATTTATGCAAATATTTCTGAGATTCTCCATCTATAAATTCATAGAAAAAGTATAGTAAATGAATCAAACTAATTTTTATTTCAAAAAAAATAATATTATTTAGAGCTGAAAAAGTGATGCATAAAGGCTATTGCATCAAGTCTGAAGCAACCAACTCTCTTCAAGTATAATTATCCTCAACTATGACGGTTTTTATTTTTTATTTTTGATTTTTTTTTATTTTTGATTTTTTTTGTATGTCACTAAAACTGAATCTTTTGAGTGGGCTTGTAGAATCATCCGGCTTGAGTTGCTTTTTGTGGTTTAATTTTCTTTTTTTAGCTTTTGTCCAATATCTTTTATCTCAAGATTAAATACCAATTAACTCGTGTGAGGAGAATGCGGCATAAATAGAGACAAATATATCAAATTATATTAAATGAATAACTTTAAAGATTGCAAACCAAACGTCAATCTATGGCAGCGGTGCTAAAACTTGACCGACGGTCAATCAAATAATTTACTTAATCTGGAATTACAAAGTAATTATAATATAAATGGAAGCATCTAACTCAATGGATGATGCAGTGATGATACTTATATTTATCATCAATTTAATAAATTAATTCTTATTAGACTATCAATAATTGATTATAGTTATGAACAATCTTTGACAATAATTTTTTATTATATAGTATAAGCAATCAAGATATGTTGGTCAACACTCCTAATTGAGCTAAATAGACCCAATTGCACCGGTAAAAATTGTTGCATATTTGCATTTCAATTTAAGAAATTCAATTAAAAACAATTGTTACGAAGAGTAGCAAATTAGATTTGATTGTATAATATCTGGGAATGAATTATTCAATCAAATTATTGCATGCAAATCGATTGTCGATTATTAGAATGACATAAATATCGGAACCAAAACATCTAATCAATCCAAAAATCATAAAAAAAAAAAAAACTAAATTAATAATTAGAAAATATTGATAATTGAAAAAAAAAAATTATAAAAAATTAAATACAAGCCCAAACATTATTATCTCTAAAAAAAACTTTATAATCAAATAAAAAAGAACTCAAAAAGGAAAATATAATCATGATTTAGCAGTAAAAGAAAATCTTCCTTTTTATCGAATCGTTTTTGCACAATGTGTCTCTGGATTCGTTTGTTCTGCACATGCGTGTCGTTCTCTCTCTTCTAAATGTGTGTCATTCTATTTTTATTATATTTTTATAATAATTGAGCTTTTAGGCATTTTAATTAATTTATCAGATCACGAGGATAAAATTATTAACAGCTATGATTAATTAAGTGATGTGATGTTGAGTTTTTTTTTTTTTCTTTATTTTTCTTTCAATTTTATCAATTTTGTTATTTATCCCTGACATGTCAAAAAAAAATATATATATATATATATATATTAGAAAGAAACCAATTAAAATAAGTTAATATAATTTGCAATATAAACATAAATCCCACACAAATTCTAACTATCAAAGAATTATATTCTATTAGCAAAGGCTAAAATGCATATATAAGAATGCATGTTTTCTAATCCAATGACTTCATTTAAATTTTAAAAATATGTATACAATGGATTGTGAGTAAAATACTCATTAGTTATGCAATTGTGATTTTATTTGTGGTTTCTCCCTGCATAAGCTTTTCATCCACGTTCATTCTTCTTCTTCTTCTTTTTCTTTATTTCATGAAATTTACCTTAATTTTTTTGAAGATTTTGATATAAAATATTTTCGATATGTTTTGTAAAAGAAATATAGTACATAAATATTGAAAATGGGATGATATAATTACAAATTCACCAAATCGATAATAAGTCTGATGTGAAATAGTAATTCAAGTATGTCCAATATATATATATATAATTGAATACTAAGGGTGCGTTTCTTTTGATTAATTTGGAAAAAAAAAATGGTTTGAATTTGCAGATTTGATATTAAAGTAATATTTTATTAAATATTTTATTTAGAGAAAAAAGTATATATTTTTTTAAAAAAATATAATAGTATTTCTTAATTCAACTTACAATCAAATAATATTCTTTTAATATATAGTATTTCTTAATTCAACTTACAATTAAATAATATTTTATTTATGCTATTATGATTAATAATATTATTATAAAAATAATTCAATTTAAATATTTTTTTTTCTCTTATTTTGATATTTTTAATTGAAACAATATGATTTTGTATTATTATATTTTTTTAGGAAAAAAAAAAATCAAAGAACAATTACAACGAAAACAAAAATAATTAAACAACGCCACCAAATCGACGATGAAGGAGACGAGGAACAGTGTCTGCCTGATAATGTTTGTCATTCCAAGGCACAATGATGACGGCGACAAGGACGATGAAAGCTTCCTCTAAAAACTCCCCCAACGCTGTGAGGTCTGCTAGCTATTTATCATCAATTTAATCAGACAATGTTTGCAATGTGTGCTCTGGATAAATCTTCAGTTTAATATAATAGTCTGCAAATTAAATCCGATAAGATCAGTCAAACTATACGAATCATGTATAACAGACAAAATCCAAAAAATATCGAAAATTTTAACTCATGATCTCAAGGTCACGAGTCCACTTCCACGCCGTCAGATCATCCGATAGGGAACCATAATTTTTCCTAATGAAACTCTAGGCCTTTTATTAAGTCGGCCTATTCTTCTTGTGTTTAGGTTGGTATCATTTAATGGATTTTTATATAGTTTTTTTTTTTAATATACCATGAAATATTTGATTTTTTGGCACGAAAATTTAAGGGTATGTTTGTTTGGGAATTCTCCCTCAAATACATTATTCATCATATTTTTTTTCTTAAAAATGTGAAATTAAACTTCTATTTTTTATTTTTCATATTATACTAAAAATTAATTTTATATCAAAACATCACATCAACATATATTTATATCACATCATACAATTATTCAAATTCAAAAATTTTACTATTTAAATCTCAATTTAAAATCCAAACCCCCGAAACAAAAACACCTTAAATAGATAATATTAAGTATGATAAATTTAGAATTAGATGACTTGATAAGAAAAAATATATATATTTATAATTATATTTGAGTCATGTAATATAATAAAGTATAGTTAATTATTTTTTATTTTGAAAATAATGTAAAGTATGCACAAAAAAATCAAATAAAAAAATATTATTATAGAATATGTAAAACAGAGAGAATATTTCATAATTCTAATTTTTAAACCAATATTAATATATTTTTGTTAGATTGTTCCTCACTTCAAGACCTAGATTTGGACCATCATCAACTATATAGAATTATGAGAGAGATTTAGACTCAAAATAATAAAGTTTAAATTGAATAAATTGTTATAATATTTATTTCGTTCACTAAGGGAGTGTATTTATTTATGATTTTATTAGATTTGAAAAGGTTTATAAATTATATATATTTAAAAACTTTACAGAATCTACGCCATAAATGGATGAAAGATTTTACATTGTACTTATCATTTATTCATAATTTTCAACAAGAATCCAACAAAATTCATAGAATTTTAAAGTCCATGAATTTTTTAATATTTTGTACTTTTAAAAGACTTTTAAAAATTTGGATTGAATACATCAGGATTTTAAAAAACTTTTAAAATTTTAAATTCAATACCTCCAAATTTTATAAGAGCTTTGAAAATTTGGAGGAATCCTACAAAATCATCGTAATTGAATACACTCCTAAATATATATATATATATATTTATATGGGTTTGACATAAGTTTAGTATTTTATTTATTTATTTATTTGATAACATGAGAACTCACAGCTTTTACTCATGAGGTGTACTCTGAATAAATTTTCGATCAAACCTAATAGTCTGAAAAGTATCTAAGTTGTTAATGAAGTGAGATTTATTTTTTAATAAACTAAATATGTAATTAGTTGTGACAATTTGTAAATAAATATAACTTGGACAATTTATTCGGGACAGAGGAAACATTTATAATTATTGAGGTAGATAGTATTTTGAATCTTTTGCTATATTCTCCTAACATTATTTATCGATTGTGATTTCCTAAAAATATTATTCACTTCGTCTCTTAATAATATATCTATTTGTATTTTGCGTCATGGTAATTAACATTAAAAATAATTTTATATTTGTATAATTTTTGTACAAATGTCAAATATAAGTATTTTTGCCATTTTCTTTAATATATTTTGATATAATAATTAATATTCAAATATTAACGTAAAAAAAATAAAAATAGATACTTAGTTACTTAACAGAAGAAGTAATAAACAATACAAAACATTGTTTTACAAAAATCAAAAAGTGAGTAAAAACTATTCAACTTAAAATAACATATTTTTTCATGTCAAACACAAAAAATCAATCTATTTTGAGTTTGTTTGTCTGGGGGTTTGGATTTTGAGTTAGAGATTTGAATAGTAAAAATTTTGAATTTGAATAATTATATGATGTAATATAAATAGGTGTTTGATGTGATATTTTGAATGTAAAATTAATTTTTAGTATAATATAAAAAATAAATATTTAATTTGATATTTTTGATAAAAAAAAAATAAAATAAATAATATATTTAAAATCCAATCCCCCAAACAATCACACCCGACAGACTATTTGATGCCATCCAACAAACACACCCGACGGACTATTTGATGCCATCCGTTGCGTTTGTTTTGACAAAGCTTGAGCACAAAATGATTGACCATAATAGTATCTTTCTTGTATTCAAATTCCAAAGCCTACTTAATATTATAATTTCTAAAGCTGTCATTGCATCACTTAATAATTACTACTAATTTATAAACGTGCTCGAACCTTGTCTTTTTTTATAAACTTTATACTCTCTCTGTCTCGTTCCAACAGTAGAATTTGCTTTTTGTACGTACATTTTTTAATATTAGTATTATATTGAATTGTAACAAAAAGACAAAAATATTCATATTAATATAGTGTAATATAAAAGTAACGATATTTATGTACTATATTGTAAGTTAAAATGATATAATTATTAAATTAAAAAATAAAACTTTATTTTGGGACGAAAGGGAGTAATATTTTTTATTTTTTTATTTTTTTATTTTTTATCACATCGGTCGGGGAAAGAGCCTGGAATCTCACTATACCGTATTCTGCTTGTTTTGTTGTCGGAGGATAAAATATAGATACACACTATTTTTAAATATTTTTTTTATCCCTATGTTCCTAGGCACTGTTTCTAATATTCTTTTATCCTTCCTTTCCAATTTAAATCAACTTGTAATAAATAATACTCCATCCGTCCAAGGTGCAATATTTACTTTTAACACGAGTTTTTAGGTGGGTAGTATTAAGTAGGATAATTTAGAAATTAGATAATGTGATGGAGAGAGAAATATATATTTTATTATTTTTTTATTTGAATGATGTAAGAAGATAAAGCGTGGGGTAGAGATTAAGTATAATTAATTATTTCCTATTTTGGAAATATTGTAGGATGTTTGAGACATATCAAAAAGGAAATATTGTAGGATGTTTGGAACGAATGGAGTACTACATTCATTGGGTAAAAAGGACATCATTTGTCTTTTGAGTCATTTTATTTAATATTAAAAATATTTTTATATTTGTATAATTTATTCCAAAAATATCGACTAATAGAGGTATTTTGTCATTTTTTCTTGATTTGTATTATGTTTTTTTAGAATAATTAATATTAAAAGAATTTTATTGGGCTAGTGGAAATGTGTAAGATGTTTTGACATTTTTACTCTTTAACTTTATATATAAAGTAATTGTATGTATAATGATATATTTGTAATTTAAATAAAAATTTAAAAATATTTTGATATTAATGTATAATTATTTTTTCTAAAATAAAAAATAAATATTTTTGAGTTATACAAATACAAATAGTAAAAATAGTACTTTAAATTGTAACGAAAGAAGTAATAATTATTTAAAATGAGACTTCTTTTTAATTTGTAGACCATAATAGTTTATACGGTTTTTTACTTTATTCTATTTATAACAGTTGATATAAATTTTTTTATAATTTTAAATATATTTAAAAAATATAAATTTATTTAATTGAAGTTATAACATTTTACAAGTAACACTTACTCAATTTTTTTTTTTTATTTTTTTTATTTCTACCACTCTTATGTTTAAAATATTTAAATTTTAAATATTTTTAATCATATATAGTAAATTTTTATATTTTAAATAAACCAACAATACAATTCACATAAAAAATAATATCATTATTTAATATTGTTACTTTACTAGTATTTTTTTTTAAAATACCTTATCAAACAAGTCAATTATTTCAAGACGAAGAACTGCAACATTTTTTTTTTGGTATCTTCCAAACATTATGCAATATTTTCAAAATAAGAAATAATTAATTATACTTAATCTCTGCCTCACACTTTATTCTGTCGTATCATCTAAATAAAAAAATAAAATATATATTCCTCTTTTCGTCACATCACCTAATTTCTAAATTATCCTACTTAATACTACCTACTTAAAAATCCGTGCCAAAAATAAATGTTGCACTTAGTTTGGGACGGAGGGAGTACTTTTTATTTTTTTAATAAATAAATATATTTTTATATATTTTATTTTTAACTTATGTTGGTTACTAAGGATGTGTTTGTTTTGTAAAATAGTTTAGAAGAATTATTTTTTTATGAAAAATAAAAAATTATATAGATAATATAAAAATATTAAGTATGAATAGTATATTAGTTTATTTGAAAAAAAGAACACATCCTTCTCTTCTCATTTCTAACTAATTAATCATATGGGCGTGTTTACTTTAGCTTTTTATATTGATTTTGAATAGTAAAATTTTGAATTGAAATAGTTATTTGATGCGATGTTTTTCATGAAAAATAAAAATTTTAGTGTAATATAATAAATAAAAAAATAGATACTTAATTTAATATTTTTGGAGATAAAAAGAAAGTTGAAATAGTAAAATCAATGGAAAAGTTTTATAAGTAAAAACACACTATACATTTTTTTTTCTATGTCAAGTGAATTTTTTTTTTTTTTTTTCATTTTTCATTGTAAATCAAAAGTTAGAAATATTCTTATTTTTATATTAACATACACTCATATTATTATATTAATTATTTTTAATGAACGCATATATATCTTTATATAAATGAATAGTATTAATTACTATTTAAATATTATTGATTTCTAGGTCAAAATTATACTACTTAAAAGGTAGACAAAATGAATACTATATATAAAAAAATATTTATTTTATTTATTTTTTTATTTGTATTATATAAATTTAATTTTATTTTTTATACAATTATAATATTATATCAAAATCATACTTTTTTTTTTTTTTTTTTACTTTCAATTCAATATTTTATTTTATTATTTTCTAATATTTTATTCAAAAGTATCAATTTTATAATAAAAATGATCTATTTAAATACCAAAATACTTCTAACTTCTATCAAAATATTCAATTTTTTTTATATATATTTTACATACTTTTATAATCAATAAAATATTATTATTTGTCCCTTAAGACATGGTTAGGTGATGTCGAGGCTGAACTTGTGACCTGAATTCAGCCCCTGAAATCACAGGTCCACCTGCCACACATGGTTCCCCTTGTGTAATTTGTCTTGTATGACCTAAGGTATTTATCCAGTTCTTAATTAACTTGCCTCAGTATATTTTATCTATTTTAGAAAATTAATTATACACTATATCAAAATACTTTCAAATACTGTTATACATGTCAAAACTTCTTGTACACATTCATTAATTAATAAAATATTATTTCTTAAGTTACCAGTTTACTGTAAACTCTGAAAAGGTCCATTTGAATTAAAAGAGAATAGTATATAATACTTGTTTTTTTAATTTAAATATTTTTTATATTTATTTATATTCTAGTACGTTCAAATTCAAACAATCCCTAGTTCATCTTTGTCAACTTGCCAGTATTATAATTCCAACAAATACCTAATAATCTTTCTCAACTTGCCACCAAATAACTCTTATGTTTCGTATTATTTGTACATATTTTTATTTTTGTATATACTAATCTTCAATCTCACTCTTTTAGTAAAAATTTATAATGTCTACATATATTTTAAAATTTTTTATTTATAATTATCTTAATTTTAATATATAATTATTTATATTATACTCTATTATATTTCCTCCGCTCGCTCCGAATTACAATAGTGGAATACAAAAATAAAAAATAATAGTATTTTAATATAAAAATAAAAAAAATAAAATAACTAAAATAAAATATTATAGAATAAATTAATAATAAAATAAATAGTAAATAGAAAAATAGTGATAAATTAATTATTATTTATTAGATAAAAATAATAAATTTCATGAATGAATAAATTATTCGTTAACTTACACATGAATTTTAGGTACAATAAAAAAAAAAAAAATAACATAAATATTTTTATTAATATATCTCTTAAAATTATTTATGCATTTACAAATTACGTCAACTCTCCTAAAACCTCATATTTATACACTGTACGTACTTAGAGATGTGGGACGCATCTGGGAATATATAGAAATACACAAACCCTAAAAATAATTACTCGAGATTGACAATTGCTAGTAATAATATTAGCAGTCCCGATATTTATTGCTTATATCCTTGTGGTCCAATATTTTCAGTTAATTCTATAATTGCCCCAAAGCATCTCTTTCAGCCCCCCTTAGTCCATAGTATAAATACCTGACCCGCTGGAAATTTGGGGAGGAACTCATTCAGTCAGTTTGAGGGAACTATCGAATAGGAAATCAATCACAACTTCCTGTTGTGCAGTGGTGTTTGGGTTTTGCCCCATAGAAGAAGCTCTCCTTTGTGCAGTTCTCGAATTCTATTTTCGATTTCTTGCTATCGTAGTTCGATTTGCACCCCCGTTGACGTTTTTGATCAATTGGATCGGTTTATTGCTGAGGATTCAAGTTTTTATTGCTTTGAGACTGTTTTAATTGGTGGTTTCTTCTGAAATGAGTTGATCTAGCTTCTGAAGTTCGGGGGATTGGTTTGAGGTTGAACATTTTGGTTAAGGACGATGTATGTGACTTGCCATCACCTCGTATGTGGAAGAGCAGCGTTGAATTTCGTGGCGCATGGCTGCAATCGTAAGTCCTCTTTCAATCAATTCTTCCGAACAAAATGTGCCGATAGAGTGAATAGGAACAGGAACGGTAGTAGAGGCTATGAAGCTGGGAGGCTGGTTCATTGCCGACAGGATTTCGGGAGGTGTGGTGTGTTTGACACGAAGAATACAGGAGAATCTGTCAATGGTAATGATTCATTTGTAATTTGTTTTGTGAGTTAGGTTTGCATTTTTGGTCAATTTTGTGTAATGTGTATAATTATTGAGCTTGTGATTGTCTTCGCGATGTATTTAGAGGTGGGAGATGGTCCTTTACCAGTGATGGATTTAAGGCAGGAGTCAACGCGGTTGGACATGTTTGAACTGGTTGCAGAGGACCTTTTAACACTGAACAAGAATCTTCAGTCGGTGAGTTGCTTGATTGTGAGCTTTGAGAAATATCTGCTGATGATTACTGTTTAGAGAATTGCGTGATGATGATAATGATTTCGTAAAGAAACAATGTTGAGACAACAATTCTTCTAGTACTGTTTTACTAATTATTCAGCTTTTGTTGTTGGATTAGAATAATCGACCCCCTTGAGGTGCATCATCCTTCATATATAAATATATATATGTATATGTCCATATCATTGAAGGCTGTGTTCTTGTTATTAATCTTTGGGTGCATTTGTTTATGTTTGGTGTTTTGGATTTTAAAGTGATAATTAGGTTTTGGATGTGACGTTTTCTTCATCTCAAGACACTCAATCTCAGTGATTGGAGCATACTAAAATAGAAAACTGAAGTCAGATATGGTGCTTGGTTTTTTTGTATCTGTTCTATGTGCCGTGTAACTTCAAACCAGATCTATATAATATTAATCCTCAGTTTTCCAAAACAAAATAGAAAATAGTTGTTGGAATTTGTTGTATTGAAAGGAAAATGGGCTTAGGATGCGATGTTTTTTTATAAAAAATAGGCGTGGGATATGATGCTTTTGAAGGGGATGATTTTTTTTTTTTTTTTTTTTGTATTACCAAAAACTAGATCAAAAACCCAAACAATACACACCCTTTATATGCGAATACCTTTTTCCCCTATAAATAGGTGGCTCTAATGATTGGAACATGAAATGTTGAATATATCGTTTGGTTGTGTTTTGGTGGCTGTAATGATTGGAACATGAAACATTGAATATAAAAGTTTGGTAGTGTTTGAAACTTTTTGACTTGATTATTTTAATGGAAATAAGCTTATGATGTTTTTGAGGAAATTTTTTTTTTATTGTGGGTAGAATATTGCAAAATTAGATTTGAAAACACATCCTTATAGAGTATCAATTTCAATTTTTCTGAGGATTAGATGTTTAAGTAAAAGAACTATCCTCGGATACACATGCACTTTATGCTCCCTGGATGCTTGTTCAGGGTTGTGGCTACTTTGGTAGCTTCACAAGATAAAAATTGTTTGAGGTGCCTATTGTTTGGAAGGACCTATAAGCTTTTTTCGAACTTTCTTTTGGGGGTGTTCGACAATTTATTCAGAAGTGCCATTGTATAAAGATGTTGATTTTAGAATCTGTCAATCTCATTACAAAAAGTTCTATAACCCACTTTAAAACCTTCTATAATTTGTAAGATTCCGACCTTATCTTATTTTATCCATGGACACAGTTAAGAATGTATTCCGAGGATACTTATGTACTGTCAATCTAGAACTCAGAATTTGCTGCCTTTGATTGAAATTTACAGTTTTACACCCTCTTTTTAATGATTAAACTATCTCTAGATCATCAGTGGCGAAAACCCTGTTCTGATGTCTGCCGCAGAGCAAATCTTTGGTGCCGGGGGTAAAAGAATGCGACCGGCTCTTGTTTTTCTAGTGTCGAGAGCCACTGCTGAAATCTTTGGTCTAAAGTAAGCTTTGTTTAATGCACTCTCATCATTGCTTTAGTTAAGAATAATGCATTCACATTCATATACTGCCTCTGGAATTCAGGGATCTTACTAAAGAACATAGACGGCTAGCAGAGATCATCGAAATGATCCACACGGCTAGCTTAGTACATGATGACGTATTAGATGAGAGTGACACAAGGCGAGGTTTGTATTTACATCCGGACTTGGTAATTCTTTATGAAAATCTTTATCGTCTCTATGCTTTGCTGTGCTTTAGGGAAGGAAACTATCAATCAACTATATGGTACGAGAGTAGCCGTGCTGGTTGGGGATTTTTTATTTGCACAGTCGTCGTGGCACCTTTCGAATCTTGAAAATCTCGAAGTCATAAAGCTTGTTAGCCAGGTATACCACATTTAATTTCCGAGCATTTTCACATTTAGATAAATGCAACTTCTTATTATGTCCATCTTTCTATTTCTGCCTTTTCTATTTATTTTGGTCACTTTCCTATATATTTTTTTTTAAAAAAAAATTATATATTTTAATCTCATTTTTAACTTTTTAATTTATACATTTTTTAATTTTAATTAGACTAATTAGTTATATTAATTTTAATCTATAATTATTTTTATTATACGATAATTATTATTTTCATTGATACATTCTTAATTCTTAATTATTTACTAATTATGCTCCTCCTAAATTCCGTGTCTACAGTAAAATGGACAGCATATCTCGTACGGAGGAAGTAATATTTTAAATGAAAAATAATACTCCATCCGTCCCGTAAGAATGGTTCCATTTTCTATTTTTCTGCTTCCCATGATACCATTTGTAACCGTAACTTACTTAATATAATAAATACCCTGCAACTTTCAATACATGTTATTATTTCTTTATAATACTTTTTTTTTTCAGTAAAATTTAATATCTTATTAATATTAAAAAATTTACGTGCAAAAAACAAATATTATTTTTTTTATTGGGACGGAGTTAGTATTTGAATACTAAGTCTAGCTATATGAGTGCTTAAAGGGTAAAAATATTTGCAAAATTCTTCAAAAGTTGTCTCAAATGATTTTAGAGATTCAAATGCAGGAATTATGATTCCGATACCATGTTGAATATCTCAGGTCATTAAAGATTTTGCAAAAGGCGAAATCAAGCAAGCTTCCTCGCTGTTCGACTGCGACATTCGTCTAGACGAGTACCTAATCAAAAGTCACTACAAAACAGCATCCTTAATCGCCGCCAGCACCAAGGGGGCCGCCATGTTCAGCGGCGCAAGCCGCGAAGTTGTCGATCAAATGTACATGTACGGCAAGAATTTGGGCCTATCCTTCCAAATAGTCGACGACATATTAGATTTCACTCAATCAGCCAAGCAATTGGGAAAACCTTCCGGGAGCGACCTTGCAAAGGGATATCTAACGGCCCCCGTGATATTTGCACTCGAAAAAGAACCGTGTCTGAAGGACATGATCCAATCTGAGTTCATCGAGCCCGACTCTCTTCGAAAGGCAATCGAGATTATTAAGGACTCCGGAAGCATCGAACGAGCATGGGAATTGGCAAGAGCGAAGGCGGACGAGGCGCTCGAGAATCTTTGGTGCTTGCCGGAGAGTTCTTTCAGGTCGGCTCTCGAACATATGGTGAGCTATAACCTCAAGCGAATAGCTTGAATACGAGAATTGTTTTGTAACACGTCTTGTGTCTGTATTCGAACATAGGTTGTTGGCATTATTTGCTTTGGGTTTCTTGATGTGGTACGACTCTGTTTACACAACTTTAGAGCAAAAGCAACACCTCTATTCAGTGTACGGTTGTAACGTAACATATGGCAATTTTTTTTTAAAACTAAACTTAAATTGATTATTTTTATTGACTAATTTTGTTTTTTTCCAAAAACCCAAAAAAAAAAGAAAAAACTTATCCACCGTTTCCGTATGAATTGACATTTTTACCCCAGAGGGCAACGAAGAGAAAACGCCTCCATCCCTAATTTCCATCCAAATCGAGTCTGCTCTGCTCTGGTGCAGACGATGAGTGCTGCAAAGCTGCTGCAATACGCTCGCCAATGGAAGCCCGCGGCCAAGGAAGTTGTGCGCATTTCCACCTCTCTTGCTCAGCTCTTCTCTTTGGTGCACGTCCTCGACACCTACGTCATCCGCCAAACTGTAGTATGGCTTTTATTTCCTTGCTCCATTTAAGACTTCGGCAATTGATTAATGTTGATGTTGATGTTAATTTATTTGTTTAGTTTTTCGTTTTTAATTTTGATCAAGGTTTATGGTCCGAGCATGTTACCCACGTTGAATTTCACCGGAGACGTTTTGCTGGTTGAGAAGCTGTCGTTTTTGCTGGGGAGGATCGGCCCTGGCGACATTGTTTTGCTGCGGTCGCCTGAAAACCCTAGGAAGTTCATTACCAAGCGCATTTTGGGTATGGAGGGAGATACTGTTACGTTTTTGGTGGATCCCGGTCACAGTGACCGAACTCATTCGTTAGTGGTGGGTACTTAACTTTAGGTGAATGGTGCGATGAGATTATTGCTACTATATTGTGCTCTGTTTTTTATTTTATCAGTTGCTGTTTGGCTATTGCTACGGGGATTTTAATTTCGATTGTGGTTTGCTGCTTTTGCCTATTGGGTAGTTCTTTAGTTTCCCCATTCAGATTTTGCTCGAATTTGGTGTTGTGGGAAATGAGTATGCTCGAGTTAATACAGTTTCTCTTTTTTCATTTTTTCCTTTGTGTGTTTCATTGAGTAGTTAGCTGTGGTATCACTTGTCATGCGCAACACAATTAGCACACCTGTAGTGGTTTAGGTATTTCGAAAGGGTGAGATGTTTATTATTTTGAACATTTTGCTGTGGTTGAATATTTTGACCTATTTTTGAGCTTTATAATGTCCGGGAACTTCATGAGTGTTTTAGAGGTTTTAAATTATTTGGAGGATCGGATGATCTATATGAGATGTTGAGATTGATAGGGGAGGTGTGTTGAAACCTAAACAACCTTCAATGCGATGCACTTCTTCTTTTAAGCTTTCGAGTGTTCTTCTATACCTTACTTCCCTGCTTCCTACTTACCCACTTTGCATACTAAATTTGCACATTTGGGGCAAGACTGACTTAGTAAAGGTGTAAAGGTTGGTGGAAGCTGCAGATGTTTGAATGGGTTGACTTGTTAGGGCTAGGCTGTGACAACTAACAGGATGCTGGAAATATGAGTGAAGTGTACATTCTAGTGAGTGTTCTTCTTGATAATTCTTGTGGCACCGTATGGACTTGGGTCTTTAGGAAAGATGCTGTTTGTACATTTGCCTATTTATGAATTTATGAAATGTTTGAAGGATCATTATGGAATGATTGTCAGTCCCCCTTTTTTGTGTGTGTGTGCATTAGTCAATTTTAGTTGATTATCTTTTCAATAGGCGTATGTATTTATGTGTGAAGAAAAAGCGCACTACCTTGGGTTTATATGAAAATTGACTTCTACTTTTGGGAATAATAGGTGCCAAAGGGCCATGTATGGATTCAGGGGGATAATATCTATTCATCAAAGGATTCGCGGAACTTTGGTCCAGTTCCTTATGGGCTGATCGTTGGCAGAGCATATTTCAGAGTAAATTGTTGTGTAAATTGCTTATATCTGGTTTTAATTCTTGTGTAAATTGCTATTTCTAATTCCTGTCTAAATTAGCTTGCATTGCATGTTTGTTTGTTTTGGTTTTGTATTTTTTTAAAATTTATTTCTCTTTTATTCTGCTAGCTATTTAATTTACAGGTGAGTCACCATGCCTTTCCAATGCCTCCCATTTTTTTGAGAAGGGTTTTCTTTGAACTTTCACGTATTTCTTAAAAAGCAATTTACAGTGGGCATTATCATGGGAAGTATGTACTTATATGCTTGTGTGCAACTTATAGTTGAAATTACTGAAATTTGAAACTCTTGTCTATATATTCCATATGCACATCAATGTTAAGATTTTTATACGCACTCTTCTGAGGAAATTCTATTCTATAGGAGTTCTAGTTTTGTTTGAATGTTCCTTAAGTTGATAAAGTTTCTCTGAATTGAATAAGAATAAAGACTTAATAAAATGATTCAATTCACTGCACTCCGCTCATTGCGAACTGTATAATAACCACAAGTAAATCTCCCTGAGATTGGTTTTGTAATGTTATACTTTACCAATGTTCATTTTCTCAATTTCCATTGCACTACTTTAGGAAATCAAATTCAAGAATGTCTTCACTTCATGAGTTTTTTTAATAGCTTTTGGTTTAGATCTTTTCACGCCGATGGTTGACTTATTTTGTTCATTGTGGTAAAACCTTTCTCATTTTCAGCACTGCAATGGGCTTATTAGAGTTTCTGAAGTTTGTCACACTGTCAATTATGTTGCTCAACTTGAGCTTGAATCACTTGTAAAACCTTCATGAGTCAAGCATGAGCTTTTCCTCTGTGTATTCAGAAGTTGTACAAACCTGTTCGTGTAGGGGGTTGGTAGCAGCACTAGTTTTTGTCAACAAAAGCTACCCATTGCTATTCATAAGCACTACGAACAACGCAAGCTGAACTAACTCAACTTGATCTCTGCACCACTTAAACAAATTTTGAGTCATTCCCTACAATATGTTCAAAATATCTCGGAGCAGCTAATATCCGAGCACTAGATACATGTCAATATACCAATGACAACAGAATCCTACTCATCCAATTGTTGTATGAATAACAGGTGTGGCCGCCTGCGGACTTTGGATCATTGCAGCACTGAGAACTACATACATGGAAATTGCAATTGTTGTATTAAAGGTGCACAGTATTGACCATTTCCTTTTTTTCTTTTTCAATAAACAATAAATTACTTCATCTTCCAGCTTAATATAATCCTCTTTTATTTTCCTTTCCTGTTGCAACACTTTTCATGCTTTGCTGATCTCAAAACTCTTGCTCGGGTTTTAAAATGTATGTGTATTTCTGCAACACAATGCACAAATACATGGCCATTTAGTTTCTTACCGATTAGATAGGTAGGAGGCTGAAATGTCTGACTACCTGTTTGGAAATATTTGTTTTACATATTTTAAAATTCAAGATCTATAACTAAGTACCGAGCTTATTAGTTCTAATCAGTACATAAAAATGGTATATATAGCACATTTTTGGTATAAAAATGTGTATTGTCTGTACTATTATCATGAATTGTCAATTAATATATGTATTGTGTTTTGTGGATATATGATATGTGCCGAAATCAATTGTGACATGTATTGTATGAACTATTAGCATGTGTTGTATTATATTAATATATAACTTTGTGTTGAAATCAGTTATGACATGTGATTGTATATAGTTTTACGATGTGTTGGTGCCGCTGATAAAAAGTTATCAGCACTATAACGTACCTATCAAAAAATGTGCGTAGAACTTCTATTATGTGTAGGATATTTTTATGCAGATCCTCACCATTATCCCTGCTGTACAAGAGTGAGTCATGGAATATATTGTACAAGTATTTTGTGCATTTATGTAGAATATTATGTACTTTACCTAATTAAAAGTATCATAACAATTAGACATGTGATTGTATTAAATATTCTCTGTAAATTTTATTGTGCAGCGATAATGTTCATTTTGTTTTTATCTAAATATTAGTGATTTCAGTAAAATAAATTTGTGTATATAATTGTTTAATACTTTTATGTACGATTTATATATAGAGAGAGCTGGTAATGAGTTGATTCAGAGCCTTGTATCTGGTTGAATGGGTTAAATAATTCAATCATAACTCGACCCGTTTATTATTGTATCAGGTTTATGTTGTCTTGTTTATTATCGTTTCGGGTTTGTGTTGATCTGTGTTGATCCATATATATAATTAAGTCGAAATGTTTGATTCAAATTCAATTATTGTCATAGTCTTGTTATGTTAGCTTTGGTTGGTATAATGTAATTTTTATAATGAATTAAGTTGAATTATTTAAAATTAACTTAGTTTAAATTAATATGTTGACTAATTATTAAATTATAATTATTTTACCTATATAATAAATATATTAATTAATATTAATATATTATAATCGAATTATTGTGTCAAATTCTAGTTGAAAGTTTTAATCTTAATCCAATTCGTTATCGTATTGGGTTTGTGTCAACTCATATATATAATCAGGTTGAAATTAATATGTGTGAGTTTTTGTTCTATATATAGAATATGACTGACAAGTTTATAATATGAAAGTTTAGTTTATAATTTTATATACAAAGTCCTCTTCAATTGAATTTGGTTTGATGGATATAGCAACGTGTTTTTGATCATAGTGAAAATTATTAATTTTATTCTGAACATTACATTCTATTTGTTATTTCATCTAAAATATATCAAAATAAAAGGAAGTATTAAAAAACACAATAAAACATCGAGTAAACTAATCTAAGGTAAATCTATCGTAGTTCAAAGTTTGTGTAGAAGTAGAGGTGCTCCATATTGAGGTTGGAGTGTAAGAATGGCGAATGGAGCATGCAAATAAGATTTGGAAAGCTCGAATGAGAAGTGTTGTAGTATCGTAGCTATGGCTATTTTTGCCTCAATCATAGCGTAGTGTTGCCCGATGCAAACTCGAGGGCCGGAGCTAAAAGGGGTGAAGGCAAACGGGCTCTTGCTTGCTCGCAAAATTCCTTCGGAAAATCTCTCCGGTTTGAACTCCTCCACATCGTCGCCCCATATCTTAGGGTCATGGTGAATTAGACCAGGTAATAGCAATAAGTCCACCCCGACGGGAAGCTTCATGTCTCCTAGTTGTATTGGCTTTGTGATTGATCGGGCCAGTAAGGGTACCGGCGTGTATACTCTCATAACTTCGTAAAGTATCATGGTCACCTGTATATAGAGATCTGATTAACTAGACGAGTCAAAATTAAGTTTTATAGGGATCTATTCTATTTTTGTTCCAAGAATGAGTATATTTAGGTTATAGAGAGGTAATTTTCACCGTTCTGAGATGATTTAGGCCATCGAATGTTGGCGCTTGCTTGCCAAAGACTTGCAGAACTTCTTCTCGGGCACGAGCTTGCCAATCTTGGTGTATGCTTAGCATCACCATTGTCCAAACAAGCAAGCTCGACGTGGTTTCCGAGCCCGCAAAGTAAAACAACTTGCATTCCTCGATCACCTCTTCAATGTTCATCCCGCCTGCGCTCTTCTTGTTCCCGTGCTCTTGGATCTCTTTCTTGTTTGATTCCATCAATGTGCTTAGTAAGTCCTCCTCGATCGCCTCCCCCCTCGCAATTGCCTTCTCCCTTTGGTCGATAATTCCCCTTAGTAAAGTGTGGATTTCATTTGAGATCGTTTTCATTCTTCGGTTTGCCTTTGTCGGAATATATCTATCATTGAAGGCAAAGATAGAGTACAGATTTCAATTTTTGTTATTCTTAGGTAAAAAAACCATGGTTGAATTAATATACTGTATAGTTAAAAAGAACAGAAGTTGTCCAGTAAATGATGGGTTAGTAGTATGGGATGGACTTATAACTGTGAAGTTATGAGTTCAAACTTCAAGTCACTTGCCACACACATAGTTCGTCTAGTATGACTTGTTTCATTGGACCTAGTTTGCAGGGTACTAGATTCGGTCGGTCGGGATTTACCCAGTGCGTCCTTTTTGGGAAACGGGTTCCCACGTCATATAAAAATAAAAATAAAAAAAAAAATTTAAAAAGAAAAAAAAAAAGCAGAAGTTTAAAAGTTACCTCCAGCCAGGGATGAAAGTGAAGATGAGAATTTCGAGAATGAGATGAACGAGCTCTTTCTGAAGTTCGAATATTCTCCACCCTTCTTCATGGCTGCTGCTAAATGCAGTTCGGGAAATCACATCTCCGGTCAAATCTTGAAGCTCCGGCCACACATCCACCGCCGCAGTAGAACTTGATTCCCATTTCTCCACCATCTTCCGACAGCTCAACCACATCGTCGGCACCATTTTCTGCACACACACATCAGTATCAGTATGATAAAAATTAAGTAAAATGGAGGAGTACGTTACAATGATAATGATGATGATGACCTTCAGTTTGTCGATATGGAACGCCGGGGAGACGATGCGGCGGTGCGTGGCCCATTTATGGTCCTCCAGGTAGAGCAGACCGCCGGCGGCCGTTTCTCCGATAGGGTCGGGTCGGATCTTGTGAAACACGTCGGGCTTGGCGAGAATCTCCTTGAGAAGCGTAGGTTCTGTGATGACGAGCCTGGGCGATGTTCCGAACCAGATGAAGGAATTTTGGCCGTATTTGATGCCGTGGCGGTGGTAGTAGGGGAGAGCGTGAGCCGTCGGATCCTCCGAAATCTGGATGGACTTAGGCTGGTGGTGTTTGGCCAGAGCTACGAGGTCTCTGATGTCGCCGAAGAGTAGCCTGTAATGGTTCCCCCGGAGGCCTTGCTTCCTTAGGGTTTCTTCCAGCCTCTTAGGTCTCAACCAGAGGCTGTTCGCCAATTTGAGGATGCCTGCCGTCCAGAGTGAGGCTAATATTACGACCACCGCGATGAGGATCGACGCGTCGTTTATTGTTGCTTCCATTTCTGGTTGCTGTGTAATTCAGCTTCGATTGGCTTCAGTGGCCGCCGTCGCCATGGAAGTGCTCCGTCGATGTGCAGAGGGGGGGAGAGGAGAGGAGAGGAGAGGAGAGGAAGACGATTGATTAAGGCGCTGTTTGTTTGGATGGAATTTTTTCTGATTTTTGTTTTTTGAAAAAAAAATAAAAATTGGGGAGAGAGGATAGCGTAGCCGCTTTCGTGCCCTAATTTCACAATTCATTTCCTCACCCCATACAAATATAAATAATTTTGTATATACATATACAAATAAATATTGAGGTTGTACATTTTGTATTTTTTGAATAAATTTATGTTTTTAATATTAAATATAAAAAATTATAAAATTATGTTAGTAATATAAAATATATAATATTTTGTATTAAATTATTTTTTTTAGTGAGTAAAATATATATTATATATTATGTTAATTTATATATTATATTTTTAATAATATTTATGAGAATTATTCTATTTAAAAACAAATTTATTGGATTTTGTCACTATTAAATTATAAATACATGTTCTATAAATTAAGGGTATGTTCGTTTATTAGATTTTATAAAAAATTTATTATTCATTATTTTTTTTTTTCTCTAAAATATTAAATTAAAAATTTATTTTTTATTTTTTATATTATACTTCATTTCGTCTCGCCTATCGTGTTCTCTGTAGACATAAGAATTTAGAAGAGTTATAATTAAGAATGTATTAGTAAAAGTAATTATAGTATAATAAAAATAATTTTAGATTCAAATAAAAATAAATAATTGGTTTAATTAAATTTTTTTAGATTCAAATAAAAATAAATAATTAGTTTAATTAAATTTTTTTAGATTCAAATTATAAATTAAAAAATTTAAAATAAAATTAAAGTGTATAATTTATTTTTTTAAAAAATGAGTGAAATATAGACATAATAAATGAAAAGAGGAAGTAATAAACATTAATTTCACATTTTAAAATTGAGATCAATACTTATTTATAAGGAGAGGTTATTATTATGGAGAATATTGAGAGTTGTATAAGTACAACACTAGAAAAAAAAAAAAAAAAAAAAAAAAGAAAATTCAAAACATAACCCAAATTAATTAACAATGATGTTGAAAGACTCCCTCAATTTTAATTAACTATAAAATATATTCCTTCTTCATTTTATAACCATACATTTATTTTTATGTTTTATGAAATTTAATAAATATTATATTTTAATAAGAATTAGTGATAATTTTGTATATATAATTATTTTAACCTTTGATGCTTAAAATTATTGTGATCGTATTACTGGAAAAAAATATATATAAATGTGAAAATTTTGTACTACCTCCGTCCCTTATTAGTTTAATTAAATTTTTTTAAAAATAAAATTAAAAAGTTTAAAATAAGATTAAAGTGTTTAATTATTTTTCAAAAAAATAAAGTGACATGGTATATAAGACGGACAGAAACGGCAACATGGACATAATATGTGGGAGGGAGAAAGTAATATATAATAAAGTCTATATTTATTAAAAAAAATAGACACTTTTATTTAATCAATAAAATAATGAAATATATATTTACAAGTGGACAAAATATAAACATAAAGCCAATTTAATTTTTAAAATATAAAATTAAGATCAATTATTCAAGCCCAAGTATCTGTTAATGATTAAGTAATATAAGGGTGTGTTTGTTTGGGGAATTGGATTAAATTTTTATTATTCATTCTATGCTTACCTCCAAAAATATCAAATCAAACATTTATTTTTCATTTTTTATATTATATTAAAAATCAATTTTACATTCAAAACATCACATCAACACTTATTTATATCACATCATATAACTATTCAAATTCAAAATTTTTACTATTCTAATCCCAACTCAAAATCCAAACCCCCAAACAAACACATAAATGTGTTTTCTTTGAAAAAAAAAAAAAGGAATTTATTTGAATTTTATATTAAATAATAATTAATTTAATATTTTCTAAGGGTGTGTTTGTTTGGGGTTTGAGATTTTGAGTTGGGATTTGAATAGTAAAATTTTGAATTTGAATAGTTGTATGATGTGATATAAATGGGTTTTGATGTGATGTTTTGAATGTAAAATTGATTTTTAGTATAATATAAAAAATGAAAAATAGGTATTTGATGTGGTATTTTTGGGGGAAAAAAATGGGATGAATAGTGGATTGGAAATCCAATCCCCCAAACAAACAAACCCTAAGAGTTTTTTTTTTTAAATATATATATATAATCTAAATAATAAATACCAAAAAGAAATTGCTAAAGAAACTATCCCAAAAGCTATTGGAAAACCCAATGAAATAAAAAATGCGTAAAATTAGATCACAATCTGGATGGTTTAAAATATAAAATTTGTCTTTTTATTGCAGTAATTTAATAATGAATAAATTATTGGATCAAAGGATTATTATATAATCATTTCTTTTGGAAGGATACGGTGGCCACTGTCCCTTCTGGTGTCCCACTTTATAAGGGTGTGTTTGGAGATCGCCGAAAATTGAGTTTGAGTTTAATTTTTTATTTGAATTTTGGAATTAATTTAATTTAATTTTTTATTTTTTTTTTTGTGTTTTTGAGTTTGACTGAGGTTTGGGGAATTTTGATATATATTGATTTGATGGATAATAAATAAAATAATATAAATATGTATTAAATTTAATTGATAAAATTTATGTTGTATGATTTGATTATAAATTTCTATTATACCCAACATATATATTAAATTTTTTATTTATTTGTATTATATAAAATTTTGTTCTCTACAAAATGACATATATATTGTATATAATTTTTCTCCATTTAATTATAATAAATATTAAATAATATTTTAATTTTAAAATAATAAAAATAAAAGCATACTGCACATTTGTGGGCGGATTAGTGGACAACCTCAAATTTGGAATTGGAGAACCACACTCTAAATTTAAAACTTATTAATCTTTTAATAGAGTATTCTCCTTTCCACTTGTTCATTTTTTTTTTTTTTCTATTTTACTCAATTCAACGCAGTTTATTATTATTTTAAATTATATTATATAATTTAATTATATTTTAAAATTTATAATTTATAATTATTTCATCCCACGTCTATCTATTTATTTACTTTTTATACGAAGTTTTAAAAATATTAATATTATACTGAAATATAGTAAAAATAAAAGTAAAAAGATTAAATTAACCATATTAGTGTTATAGAAAATGCATACTTTGTTATCGGACGGACCAAAATAGAAAACTAGATAGATTATTAAGGGACGGAGGGAGTAATATTTTTATTGTAAATAAATTATTTAGTCATCTCAATTTTAATCTATAATTATTTTTACTAATACATTTTTTAATTATTTACTAATTATACAATATTTAAAGCTTCATACCCCAATTAAGGTGAACAAATTAACTGAAACGAAGAGAGTATCGTTCTAAATCAACAATATGTACGGTAAATTTCTCAAGGTCAATTAATTAAGGGTGTTTTTGTTTGGAGGATTCTCTCCAAATTTCATTATTCATCATTTTTTTTTTCAAAGATATCAAATCAAATATTTATTTTTTTTTATATATTATATTAAAAATTAATTTTACGTTCAAAATATCACATCAATACCTATTTATATTATATCATACAAATTTTTATTATTCAAATTTCAACTCAAAATCTAAACTATCAAACAAACACAACACAACCTACGTGAATATGAATTTTAGGTGAATTTAAATAAATTAGATTTAAATTATTTTAAATTTATAATACTTCATAATTAAAATTATATTAGTGCATATAATATTTGAAATATTAAAATGGGTGAATTTTAAATTTACAATCAATTTTAGAGATTTGAAATAATTGCTTTAATTTAATGGAATTATTTGAATACATTTAACTAAAGAATTGAGACCCACCAAATTAGGTCAAGGGTGGGTTTGTTGGAAAAGATTATGAGATTATTGGAGAGAATTGTAAAATTACTTCTGGTACCATAATTCACCTCATAATTTTAAACTATTAAAAGAGAGCAAAAAAACTATGTACTTATATCATTTTTTTTTCTTGTTTTTCTTTTTTAATTCATGCATAGTTTTCAATGTCTTTTTTTTAGTTTAATTCGACAATTTTCTTCCAGAGTAAATTGCGTATATCGTACCCGTATTTTAATAAATTTGCATGAAATTTCTTTTATTAAAAAAATTATATCAAAATCCGTTGTATTACAAATATATTGCAAACGCCCCACAATTATTAACGGAGTTAATTTAGTTGTTGAAGTGACCATTATGCCATTTGCCTTTAAACTCATTAATATCTCTTTTATAAAAATTCATAAACAATTCTTTTATTAATTAAATGAAATTAACTTTCACTGAATGCCCAGTTTACATCCATTAGCGACAGATTCTATTAGCGAGAGTTTTATTCTTCATTCTCATATCCCATTGAATGTAGCGAAAGGAGTAGGGCTTTCGTTTCTCTATTCTCTTCTCCCGCTAAATCTTATTGTCGACTATTGTTCCCTTAGACTTTGGTGCTCGATCTTAGTTTTTGTTGTCGGCGGAGTTGGTTTTGGAGTTAAGAAGATGCTTTGGCAAACTTTTATAATTTTGTTGGGTTTTTTCCGACATTATTGTTCTCATTACTAGTAATCCTAAAAAAAACTTTACCCAATGTCATCTTTGGATAAATATTGAAAGTTCTTTTCAGGTTTGAAAATTTTGTATGCGATTTGTTTTTTTTTTTCGCAACATCCGTTTGGGAGGGGACCGTGTTTTATAATTGTTTAATTTTGATGGGGTGTGGTAAGTATACTATTTTTTATTGAGGTATATTCTAATTTTGTTGTATCTTGCAGAGACCATATGGAAGATTCCCTCACTGTATTCTTGTGAGTCGACGGTTACGTAATTTGAGACCCATTCACAAAGTACATGGAAGGAAGAAAAGTCAAGTTTGAAGGTCTCAATAGGAATAAATTAAATTATTTTACTTTAGTAGATTTATATGTGATGGCCTGTGGGGTGGGGGCCAATGTAAAATTTTGTTACGGTTTGCCGGGTAGAAATTTGAAGAGTAAGACAATGTATATCAAGACAGATGCAGATGTTATAAATTTCCTACGCTTGTCTAAGAATGAGTCTGCCATTCAAGTATTTGTCACTGAATTGGGGGGCCCTATAAAAAGCTTGGATAATAAAGAGAAAAACTTGAGTCGTGCTAGTGAAGTGTTGCATTTATCCTGGAAAGACACAATTGTAAAATGTGAGAGGCGAATAGTAGAATCAATAGATGATGAAGGGCGAAGTGCAAAGTTAGAAGACCTACTTGATTCTAATGCAGGGAGACATGATGATCCTAATCTTGATTTGGTTCGAGATGCTGTATGGGAGAATTGGGATACAGTTAGAGATTTTGGAAACTGTGGTGATAAAACTAATGATGCTTCAAGTTTCAAAGCTTCTAATGTGCATTGGGTTGAGTATGGAAATCACAATATACATGAGACAACAAATATTGATGAAGGGATATTTGAGGGAGATGCGGGGAGGCTGATGATGCTACAGAACCGGGAGTCAGGAGTTTCGATGAGAGGCTAGGTGGCGGAGGTGGTAGTGATAGGGATGAAAGGTTGGAATTGGGTGGTGGTGACGGTGTTGTAGATGGATTTGGAAGATTGACTACAATTAATGAAAGCGAATTCTGAGGATCCATCATGGATGTATGATGATTTTGATGGTCCGTCAGACGATATTTTTGTTGAGAAGCCAGATAATGACCGATATAAAATGAATAAATTGTTGAAGAAGTTGAGGGTTTTAAGAAATGAAAGAAAAAAAGAAAAATTTTTTGTCGATGATACCAGTATAGGAGACAAGATGAGTGGAAAGGAGAGGGAACAATGTTCTATTTGGTATAACGATGATGTATCATAAGGAGAGATTGTTTTGGAGGCTCCTTTACTATCTGAAGAAGAATAAATTGGATAAAGATATAAGGAAAGTGATGAAAGCCTTAATATGGCTGCCATAAATTTGGAAGTTGGCATGAAATTTCCATCAAAACAAAAATTTAAGGAAACATTAAAGGATTTGGCAGTTCGCAATGGTTGGGACTTGAAGTACCCAAAGATGGAAAAACACGTTGTAAGTGCTACTTGCAAAAAAGGTTGTGAATGGTATAATCGAGCATCAGCAATCATGAAGGATGATATATTTCAAATTAAAACATTCAAAGGAGGATACACATGCGCTCATATGACAACAAACTCACAAGCAGATTTTCGGTATGCATTTTAGTCTTCATAACTTATTAGTAAATGGTACTGTAATGAGTTATATTATTTCTGTTCTTTTTTGTGTTATTAATTCATGAATATATATATGTGTGTGTGCGCGCACTTGGGTGTTCATTAGCTAATAAATAATGTTAATATACGTTGCAGCCTACAATTAAATTACATGTGGATTAAATTAGCACCAAACATCAAACACAAATCATAACAACAATTCAAACACCGAATACAATAGATGTCATAACAATGAAATCCAAAAGATGTCATAACAATAGTTCAAACACCGAATACAAGAGATATTTCTAAATACAACACCAAAAAACATAGACACCTACTTACATATTACCATAAATGCAAAAACAACAATAACAAAAACACAAAGATATGTAACCCTATTCGTATTTTTTTTCAAAACGCTTCATGTTCAACTCTATCACTCTAGCAATGTTGTCCATTTCAGCCCTCTCTATGGCACCATGACCTGCATTCTAAGGGTTCAAGCCAACAAAAAAAAATCACATTGTCTGATTTTGCAATTTCAAAACAAATTACCTTCGGTATCTTTGGTAGGCCCAACGACCCTAATAGCAGCATATTTTCCGCAGTTACATGCTGGATTCTTGTATCTTAAATCTAGTACTTCCGCTCTCAAGCCTCTTTTGCTATTCAAGGATGTCGTGGACATTAACGCTACCTATTCAACAAAAGCAAAATCGACTATACAATTCAATCCGAATATTTATAAGAAAAACAAATAAAAACAGCCCATTCAATGAAAACTGTTCTAAATTAGCAACAAACTCGATCAACAAGTCTTCATCGAAAACTGGCTGGTATATAAAATATATATCCCTAATTTCTACTATCGCTAAAATAATGTCACTACTGTCCGAGCAACTGAATTAATTCCACAAAAATAAAACAAAAGGTTAAGATTTTCTACAAAAATTGAATAAAATTATGAGGAAAGGAGCGACGCCAACGCATCAAAGTTTAACACTTATACTATCGTCAAAACAACATAATCTTCTTTCTTAACCCAACGCAAATTCTTACGTGAAATCAAATTACTCAAAAACAATAACACTAATTTAAGAAACCATAAATTCTTACCTGCACGATGAATTTGTTGAGTTTATTTTTGAATTCTTCCCTTGCGAATATCAATCATGTTCGGTGAAGAGGGCTTCGACGGTAAAGGAAGAATGCTTGAGTTAGGGCATATGATCGACACTAAAAAAGTATACTTATTGGAAAAATATTCAGATACAATGAAGGGTATTTACGTCATTTCACAAGACTTTTGAGAGCTTGTTTCTATAATACACGCATAAATAGCGCGTGTATTTTACTCTCAGTGTATTGTGGACGGATTGGGGATTTAATGCAAAATTTGTTATATCAAAAATGTAAATTATGCAATAAAATAAATATAAGGTGTATTGCGCAAATTTCAAATAACACAAGTACCAAAAGTGAAATATACCCATTCTTTTATTGTATGCACTGATTATCCCTTAATTCTTGTAGCTCTGTTCTTTTTGTTAATTCCCAAATTATCAATGAGAAATTGAATTCGATTGAGTAAGCCAGGAACTCGTAAGCCCTTGAAGTCTAAAATTTGCGCGGATAACAAATATATTATTATTTTTATAATTTTTTTGTAATAATTTTTTAAAATATTAAAAATTAATTTTTTTTAATATTATAAAATAATTATAAAAATAATTTTTGTTAAATTATAAATATATATCAAATTATTTTAACAAATAAGTAAAAATATATGTTGGGTCCCACACCTCCGTGTTGGCTGTATGAAGTGCCCATTCATCTCTCGAATCATTTATTACTGCCGCCATATTCAGTCTTAGTCAATCATTTTGAAAACTTTCTATAAAATCATAATTAATTAAGTACTGATATTCAATTGGACAAAAAATAATTTTTGCTCTATTTATTTTTATCCTTTATAATTAGATAAAAAATTAATTTTAGTCTCAATATAACGATCCCAATATAAAAAACTTAATTTTAGTTACAAATATAAACAATTTTAATAAATGACCAAAATTTTGGTTCAAATAAATTTATTTATATTTGAATCAAAATTAATTAAAATTATTTATATTAAAATTAAAATTTATTAATTTTTTATATTGGATCAAAATTAATTTTTTTTATTTTAAAATTATATAAGTACCGTTTAAACATTTGGTTTCAAATTTCCAGACTTCTCCATCTCTCGTCGTCTTCTTTGTCCGCCACTTTCCATAGTTCGTTCCTACCTTCGTCTCCCATCTTCATCTTCTTCTTCTCTGCGCCAGTCGTTTCGAAATCTTCACTCTCCGATTCATTTGATGCCCGCCATGGAAAACGGCGAAGGAACCTCGGAGATGGCGATGGCGGAGTTTACAAACATCGATACCACCGCTGACTCCATTGCTTGCTCCGACATTTTTCATGTCGTCACTGACATCATGGGTTTCGTTCTCTTTATGCACCAGCAAATTCCCTCGTAAGTCCATCGCAATTACAAAAATTTCCTTGAGTTTTAGGGAGGTTGTTTAATTTCAATGTTTCTCTACGTGTATTGTTGCTTTTGCAGAGTACTTCAGGACATCACTCACGAATTCGATGATTTGCGCTCCGAGTTTGAGGAATTGGTGATTGATTCGAAATCGATTATCCTGTTCCCCCAATTTTGATGTCGGTGTCTAAAACCTTGTAAAATTTCTGCTGAATAGGAAGTTGAACTCGCGAAAAGTGAAGTGAATTCGAAATTGGCGAGGAGGAAGCAAGCCACGAGAAAGAGAGAGGTGAAAATGGGGATAAGAAGATTGGAAAAATTGGTGAACTGTATTTCCAATCTCAAGACTGCGCTTCAGCTGATGATATCACAAACTCCGAATGTCGAGAAAATTTCTCTTGTCCTTGGCCCTAGCCCCCTAAGGCCATTACATGTTTACGAGCTAAATTTTTCCCAAGAGAGAGCTGTTTCCACGGACTTTGGTCGGACAAAAGTTGCAGAAACTCTTTCCCGGAAGGTTTGTTATTGAATCTAGAAATTGGTATTTGAATCTCACCTTATCTATGAAGCCTTTGATTGCTGATTGCTATTTCAATTTGTTCCTTAGGCCATTCGTATGATGATATCAAAGGGCACTGGTTCGGATTCCTCTGGTGGTAATGAACAACATCATTCCTTTTTTATTACAATCGATGGAAGGGGTAATTCGTTTTGGTTCTGTCCATAATTTTTGTTCGATACAAATTTTCAGGACCTACAAAATTGTTTCTCATGGTGAAAGCTCCTTCTTGCTTTAATTTGCCTTTGCACTTTCTTCCAAAGCGTGAGTTTCGGGCGAATAGGAAGGTAAAGTCATTTGATTGGGAGAGTATTTGCATCTTTCGTTCTTGTGTTGATGGTGTAAGCTTCTTAAATTGTAGTCTTGTAGGGTTCAAGTTAATTCTTGGAGGATATGATGTGACTTACTTGATTCAGAAATTTGCATCGTCTTGCTCTAATCATTTATTATGGATTTTCTTCGGCAATACTATTTTTGGGGGCTTGAGCTTGTTTTGTGTATTGATATGGCGACAAAGTTATGCACTATGAAAGCTGAAACTGTTGTTGAAGCCCTTAGTTTATATAGATGTGATTGGAAGGTGAACCTGCATAAATTGGCCTAGGATTTGTATAGTTGTGAATTTCATAAGGCATATTAATGTTATTTATTTTTTTGGAATCCAATGCATTATCGTAGTTTAATGTCTTGTTTGTTGTGCTTTCTTGATACTTGATTACATATTGTTTTATTCTTTGGAAACAGACAGTGCCTTTCAGATTGCGATTCAGGTGCAGAAGCCAAGGGCCAGAGATGAATGCACAACTTAATGATTGCCATCCAACAGCAACAGATTTTATCTGGTATCAACTAATTCGTAATATTGCAGTTGATGTTCCTTCCATTAATGCTCTTGTTTAGACTTCTGTAATATGGCAATGGAGTGTTAAGTGGTTAACATATATCGAGCTTCAGTTAATTTTATTTATTTATTTTATCGCAGAAAACTTCACTCACTATTGAGTTATTTAGTTTATAGCAACAGCATTGTTGGTTTTATAGTGTCGATTTCAGTCTTTTATTCGTGTGACTTTCCAACTTCGATTTATAACATCAATTTGTTGAATTGGAGAGTATAACCAGCTCTGTACGGTTGTTCTTGATTCCAAAATTAGTTCACAATCTCTGCTGCAAGTGACCGTTGAATTTCAAAAGTTGCAGCTTTGAACCGAATTCGTGTCAACTGCTTCATCTCATTGTCATAAACATTTCACTGGACCCTTCATTGTTACCCCTTGGGTTCTACCGAAGAATTATCAATACTTTCTTGTGAAATATCCACAGCCTGGATTTCATCGCCCCCAAGACATGGCCTTGTGTGATCATTGTGTCTCTTTTCATTCCTTGATGAATTTGTGCTGCAGGTGCCAACTAGCAATTGGCTGTACTTAATATTTGCTGTCTTACCTTTCAGGTTTCAATGCCGACATGCGATCAAGGGCTTGGCTTTGGAGACAACTCCTCTGGAAGATTAAATCTCCAGTATTGCAGTAAGCTGTAGTACTTACTACATAGTATGCTACAGATGAAGTCGCTGATATTCATGGTTGAATCTACTTTAGCTTCTCTTCTTGCAACTTTAGATCTCTCACTGCATTTTAAACTTTTGGTAAAATACTAATCTATGCCATAAATGTAAACTGTGGATGACATATGAAATATGCTAGCATAGAATATTGGAATAGGAGTGGCATTTAGATAGCGCTATGGTGCAATTTGCAAATGTTGTATGTAGCTGTCTGTACCTCCTCGATTCCAAAGTTGTTGAAATCGTATCAAAAGAGATGCAGAGAGTCTGAATTGATGTTTTTTGAGGGCTGCAACTTTGACAATGTGCGCATTGAAGCACTTATTGTTCATATAAGAAAGAAGAGATACCCTTGATGGAGCAACAAGAAATCTTAGGATGTCTGAGGAGATTGAGAGGTACGAGCTTTCAATGTCTTAATAGCACAAAAGCAATATACTTGCTGGAAGTAATTATCCTTGTTCTGAATTTATTAATCTCAAATTTAAGTCACTATTTGATGATTTTTGCGATATTAGAAGAAATACACTTTTGTTCTTCATTGTACACGGAAGGAATCGTTTAAACAGTCAACATTCAAAAGAATATTGTTTGGAAATGCATATTATCGGTTTCCAAGTTAGTTGAGGCATCTATCTGCCATTTTAGCTTTGTGCAGTGTATATTGTATCGTATTGCAGGAGATAATGCCCGCAGCATAAGTTGTTCATCATCGAGACCAACAGAGGACGACGTTGTTGAAACTACATGAGCTGCAGATGATTTTCGGATAGCTTGTGATTGTGGAAGGGGTCTGTGTTTTTTCTCAGTTGCCATGGCATGGCAGGTTAGTTCTCTACAAAATTCTGCATCCTTGGGGGTGATGAATTGAGGAATGAGTTACAGTTTGGTACATGAATCACTAGCTGCAAGAACACACCCTTTGTCTTCGGACATGTTACAAAAATCTCTAAGAACTCTATGGTACTTTGGTATTATGGCTTCTTCAAACAGAAATGAGTTTAGATGATATTTGGGATTTTATATGTACTTGGCATGCCTAATTGTAAGGGGATTAAGCCTATGTGGTTGTAATTTGTGATATATCAATGTCACGTCATGAATTAATATTAAATTTTATATATAGTGTTTAAAGAAAATATAAGTGTTAGATATTAAAAAATAAAATAAAATAATTTTATTATAGATTGCATAAAAACATAAAATAGAATATACAAAAACAATATGTTATAAAATTAGTAAGGCTAGATTGCTTTTAAGAAAATTAATCATGTTATTTAATTTTAATTGTCTCTGGCCAAATTGTAGTGATAATATGAATTTGAAAATTTTGAGAGCGATTTATAAGCTCCATGTTGAACATGAAAGACCCCAAAATCTTCTATTTACTTAGAATTTTCACCAAACAATCACAAAAAAAATTACTCCCTCCGTTCCGGCTATTGTGACCTCTTTACAGTTGTCATGAAACACTTACTAATTAAGAATGTGTTAGTAAAAAATTATAAATTTAAAAATTTAATATGAGATTAAAATAGTCAATTAGTCTAATTAAAATTAAAAAAATTATAAATTAAAAAATTTAATATGAGATTAAATTGGATAATTCTTTTTCTAAAAAGAAAAGTGACTGAATAAGTGGGACATACGAAAATAGAAAAGTGGACACAAAATGTGGGACGGATGGAGTATATTATTCTATTCTTTTTTTTTAAAAAAAAAACCTGAAATAATTCAATTCTATAATAATGGATTCAAATTTGAGCTATCTCCATGGATAAATCTATTAGAGATAATATGCTTACAAATCAAATCATGTAAAATGAATTGCATTATTAAAAGAAAGATGAAGAGAATATATCGAAGAGGGTCCTAAATAGTACTCAACAAGATTTTGGCTCCAAATTTAGATCTTAAAGTCATCACATGGATATGTGCATGTATGTAATTAGGAGAGATCTCGAGTGAAAAAGGTTGAAAAATCATGGCCAAGGCCATCTTCACTTCTACCATTGCAAAATTCATCCCGATGCAAATTCGAGGTCCTAAGGAGAATGGAAAGAAGCCCGACGGTTGGCCATTTATTGCTTTTGCTACTCCTTGAGCAAATCTCTCGGGCTTAAATTCTTCGGCATCTTCTCCCCATATTTCCTTGTCACGATGAACAAGGAGTATTGGAAGTACAACCTCCACCCCTTCGGGAAGGATTATATCCCTGACTTTTATATTTATTTTTGTACCTCGAACAATATTTACTGTAGGTGGATATAATCTAAGTACTTCGAGCAATATCATGTTCATCTGTAAAACGTAGAATTTTGATTAAATTAGTGATATTTTTCTAGTGAATATTTTTAGTTAGTTGATCTTTATCTTTTCAATTTTATCCAAAGATATCATATTTAATATTCGTTTTTCATATAAAGTATCATATCAAATAGCTATTTTACTTTAAAAATACGATAGAAAACATAACACCAAGTGGACAAGTGTCACCAAGTTAAGTGGAATAATATGATGCCAAAAGGGGTAATAGATTATAGATCGGATTAGTACCTTTTTCAATTGATTCAAACCATCAAAATCCGGAATGTTCTTCCCAAATACCTCGAAAACCTCTTGTCTAGCCTCCGATTGCCACTTTGGATTGATGCTCAACATGATCATCGTCCAAGTTAGCAAGATTGCCGTTGTATCTTGTCCGGAACCATAGAATATTTTGCACTCGTCGAGTACTTCATTAATGGTGATTCCCATGTCTTTGTTGTTTCCATTCTCCTCGACTTCTTTTGAGTTCGATTCCAACAATGTTCCCAATAAATCATTGTTCATCTTCTTGTGCTCTCCTTGGGCTTTGATTCTCTCCTCTTTTTTTTGGATGACATTTCGAAGTACATCTTTTATTTCTTCGCTCAACTTCTTCATTTTCTTGAATTGCTTGATAGGCAAGAATCTATCAACATTAAATACTAGATGTTTGAACATGGGATTTCGACAAAACCCATATATATATATATATATATATATATGATCATCCTCGTACCTCGATCCCGGGATGTACACAAATGGCTGAGTTCGGTCATGAGCTCAATTTGTTGCTTTATGAGTGAGAAGATCTTCTCCCCTTCTTTGTAATTGCTTCCAAAGGCTGATCTTGAAATTACATCGGCTGTAAATTTTGATAAGATAGGCCATACATCGACCTCGCCACTCTTGCTCTTTGATGACTCTGTTTTTAACGTCTCTACGAGCTCGTTGCAACATATATGCATTGCGGGAACCATGCCTTGATAATTATTTAATATCATAGAGCGGATCATGTAAAGAATCGTAATATTTAACATTGCTGAATTAAATCGATACAAAGATGTTTCAAATGAGTTATAGCATAATAGTTTATAACTCATTTGTGATTTGATTAGTATGCATCATTTTTCTTCAGGTTTAGGAACTATAGAACTCATTTGTATTTTAAAAAACATTATACAAACTTTTCTAAATTGTTGTGCTTAAACAACAACCTCCACCAATATATTAAATTTAAACGTTTTGGGGATCCTGTGTAATTTTTTTCTAAATATATAGAAAAAAATGGAGTTCTTGTATTGCGAGGAGAATAATAATGCAAAATTTTCAAACAAATTATAAGCAAATTCTATAATTTTAAAACAAGTTATAACCAAGTGTGTTCTTTTTGGAGAATTAATATATTATACAATTTTATTATTTAGATATTACCTATAATTTTTTATATGTTACATAAAAACAATACCTCTTCGAACCATTTTACAAAACAAATTATATTTTAGTTGTAATATCATACTATTCAAATACATAGTTATGGTTTATAATTTTTTTATTTGTGATATATTATTGTATGGTTACTTCATGTAATCAAACAAATGCTTTTGTTTAGAATGTAATTATAGGATAAATATGTCTATATATATATGTACATTGTATTTTACTAATATATCGTTTTCGCATATTGTTTAAAATATAAATTGCAATTTATTTGTATTTTGTAAAACTCAATACAAAATTTTTCATTAGTTAAAATTTGACAAATAATTTGTCTAAATATCTACCGTGAGGTCATGGGTGTTACCTTGAGTTTAGTAAGTGTGAAAGATGGGTTAAGAAGGTGGCGATGCTTAGCCCATTTGGATCCCTCATGTGAAGGAAGCCCCGTCACCAAAAGTTTACATAACGGATTTAAAAATAATTTTGTAATTATTTCATACTTTTGGAACACATCTTTAATCATCTTCGGATCCATTATCACTATCCTCGGAGTTGATCCCATCCAAATAAATGATCTTTTACCTATACATACATATATATATATATATGAATGTCAATATGTCAGATACCTATCTACAAAAATATATATTCATTAGAATTCTATTTCTTTTATTTAAAATTTGGATATGATTTTAGACTATTCATCGGATGAAGTATATATATTTTTTAAACTTATCAAATCTAATACTATATACTATTTACTATTTTATTTAATTTATTATTAAAAAATTAAATTTTCATCCAATATCCTATCAAATATTTATTTATATTATATCAAATACTATTTCATTTTTTTTTTATTTTTCTTTTACAAACTCAAATCTAAATATTAAAATAAAGTTTCCTTAGAATTTAATTTAAATTTAATTGTATTCAAACTTCTTTGTAAAATTATATAATTTTTCTTAAAAATACTAAATTAAACCCAAAAATAAATTTACCATCTCAAGTTCAAAATCTAGTTTCTATTTTATTTTCTATGAAAGCATACTCACCCCAAATCTTCTCTTATTATTTTTAGTTTGAAATATCTCAAAACTATTATTTATTCCGTCATCCAACTATGTATTTATTTGACCGAACACCAATTTAAAGAAAAATAAATAAAAATTGAAACTTTTACGTTTTAGAGAGTATAAATTTTCTTTTATTTATACAAAAAACATTTCTTTTATCTTTTTACGCCTTTAATAATAATTCTTAAAAAAAAAAAATAACGCACACATATAAATCCACAAAAAAAAAAACTATCAAAATTATATTATACCATCTCTGAGTATAAAAAAATAAATCAATATGCATATACCGTATGTGGCGAGTATGTGGTGGTAGAAGGGCAGCAGTACATGCGGCGCAATGTTGCGGTCAAGGGCGGTGGTGGTGGAGTGCTTGGCGGCCATCATCCGGGCGGCGTCTTTCATGTCGCCGTAGAAGAGGCGGTAGGGGTTGCCGCTGAGGCCCTGAGCCCGTAGCATCCCCTCGAGTCTCCTCGGCCGCAGCCACACGCGCTGCAGCGCCATCCATACGACGCATAGCCACACGGCTGCTCCTAATATGTATATGTATATGTAAACGCCTATGCCTTCTCCCATTACTATCACCATCACCTCTAAGCTATACATCATTTGAGGGCTTCTATCGATATATATCGATATATATATATAGAGAGAGAGAGAGAGGGAGGGGAGGGAAAGAGCTATATGAGAAATTATGTTGTTAATAAATAAAAAATAATACTTTCTATATCCGCCTCTAAGGGTAATATTTATAGTCTGTGTCATTGTATTTAACATTAAAAATATTCTTATATTTGTATAATTTTTTTTTTACAAATATTCATTAGTATTATAAGAGAAGTATTTTTGTAATTTTTTTTTTAATTTGTACTACATTTTAATATAATAATTAATATTCAAAGATGAAACAAAAAAATAAATAAATAAATAAATGAGATCTTTAGAGCTGGACGAAGGTAGTAATATTTTGTGTTGAATTGTTAATTTTTTGTGAGTGAATAAAATGTACTCCCTCCGTCCCATAAAAAAATATTTGTTGAGAATTGACACGAGAATTAAAGAATAATAGTATTTAATTAAAGGAATATAAAATAAAATGTAAAAGACTAAATTACCTTATTTTTTTAAGTTTTAAAAAGTAAGTTAGACTAATAATAGGGGTACTTGTGAAAAAATAAAAATAATTTTATTGAAAAGTGTGAACCACAATTACTAAATAAAGAAACAAAATAATTGTTTTAGAACAAACAAAAAATATGAAAAAACTATATAACTTTTTTGGAATAAAAAGAGTATGTATTATGTGTATTGTGTTACTGTGTAATGTGTTTTTAATAATACTGACAGGATATTGTGATATTGAAATATAAATAAATTGAAAAAACTCTCGGAGCTCCCTCTATGTATGTATCATTATTATTATATTTTTAATATTTTTTATTATATAAATTGTTGGTTGATTCCTATCAATATAAATAAATGTGGCTTATTTCTTAAATTTAAATATTTAGGTGAAACGATTAATTATCATGGTATTAAAGGCAAGATGTGCCGAACTTACATGTTTTTTTCATTTTAATTATATATATATTTTTTAATGGTGCATAATTACGTGTGTGTGTGTATATATATATATATTTTGTATTTTTAAATAATATTTATAAAGGATTGTATCGATAAAAAAATTAGTGAGGGAGCATACCCTAAATTGATTTAAGCACACACCCACACGTTGAACTACAAGGTAGATATTACATCAAACAATATTGCGCAAGTGGCTTTATTTGTAGGTTTTGGTCGCCCTATTTTATTATTATTATTTTTTAAGTTTTAAATTATTAAACTAAATAGTTTTGTTTACTCTGTACTTTTAAATATAATGATTTTTTGTATATAGTACGAGAAAATTGTGTAAAAAATATAAAATATTTTATTAGTTATACAATTATGTGCTCATTTGATAGAGTATATATTTTTAACAAAATAGATAAAATTTTTAAAAAAAAAATACTTTTTAGAGTAAAGAAAAAGTAAAAAAAATAGTATTTTTTTTTAAAAAAAAGAAATATTTTTTTTTAGACGATAAAAAAAAAAATGAAAGTAAAAATAAAATTGATGACAAAAAGAAAACAATGAAAGTAAAAATAAATTTGATGACAAATTGAACATATTATTTTAAATTGAATATTTAATTTTATTTGAAGTTTTTTTTTTATGTTTTCACTTTTGTATAAAATATTTTGGGTGTGTTTGAAAAATGATATTGGAAAAACAAAGTCATTATATTTATTTTGCTTGTAGAAAATTTTTATATTTTTGGCATTATTAATTCATGACTTTTTAAAAAATATATATATATATATCATATTGAATTTAATTTTTTTTCACAATATCATATTAAATATTTAATTTATTTTATTTTTATCAATTTTATTTTTTCTAAACTTCAAAATAATATCTAAACGAAACCTTATTTTCCTATAAAAAAAAAGGTAAATGAATATACATGCATTCTAATTCTTTAAAAAATGAACAAACACATAATAATTTGTTTTTTCTCTTTCTATTTTCAAATTCGTTAATTTGCTTGTTGATTTGTAACAAGTTTTTAGGCTTTAGCTCCTTAGATTCTTTTTTATTTTATTTAAAAATTATTTATTTGATGTATAAATGGTGTTATTATGAACATATAGGTGTGCATGCTTATAGGTAGATATGATTTTACCGAATTTTTCTTTAATTATAAATGCATCTGAAGATTGAAACCTCCCCTGCCAAAAACCCTAGAGGAAACAAGCAAGGTTATTTTAGCCCTTTAACAATAAAAATATATCTTTTGTAAATTAATTCATACTACCTCCGTCCGACTCTAAGGTCCCATTTACTATTTATTTTTGCATGATGATCTTTAAATAATATTTGTGAAAAAAAAAATCATACAAATATAAAGATATTTTAATATTAAGTACAAGATAAATGAACCATTTGAGCCGGACTGGGGAGAGAGTATATTATATATTATTTCACCTGATGTTAATATTCAACTCACAATATTACTGTCAAAAAAATAATTCATACTAAAGCAATAAAGAAACACATTCATAATTTTATTATTTACAAAATACCATACATATTCAAATAGAAATTTTAAAAAAATTTAAATTTATTATAACCAACTTCTCAACGTATAACCAACTGAACCCAATATTATCCTAGCCAGTAGCCACAAAATAAAATAATTGAAAATAAATTCCAAAATCCATAAAAACATATATGAACACAAGCCACAACTATCCCACAATTAAAATTTCCAACTCCATATTTCGTAGAAATGAAACACTATTTACATGTAACACCACACAACCTGCCTTCGATACATAGAGATACCAAATTGCTACACAAGCACAATAACAAAGAAATAAGTATTATATCTCATTTATTTAGAAATACACCAACCTGACATTTAAGATAGCTTTGCACAGCACTTACCAACTGATCGATCCATCGATCATGTAACTGTAAATCAATGATGGCGAAGGAAGGCTTCAATCGATCCGAGTAAGCCCAAAAATAAGTGCAATTGCCTCCAGAACAGCCTGCAAAATTACATTACATTTTTGTTCACATGTAAGTGCACTTTGGGCGGAGAAATGCTGGATTTGATAAGAGTTTTGGAGCTCGACAGGGGCACGATTTGAGAGGTGAAAGAGATTTATCTGTTTGAACTCTCAACTCATTTTTAGTACTAATGCACATTTAAAGCTATATGAACTTCAAACAATCTTGAGGTGATCTAATTGCATCAGTTAGTGGAGTTTTGGGTTTCAAAAATGAGGTGCATCACTTGATACAAATAAATAACACAGAAATCGACAATTGCAAGCGATAATCTATGTTAGTTCCCAGCCATGGGGAGAATGAAATCCATTACATAAAGCAGTTAATAAAAGAATCGAAAAAGCTTTCACTATGCGCATGCCAATGGACAACATATGCTTGACAAGTATATTTGTGTGGCACTGAGAAATCAACTCATATATTGTTATTTCTCCGTAATCTTCTCGTGTAAAGCAATTTATCTATCCATCTAAAACACATACATATATATATTTGGTTGTAAGTTTTTAGGCTATATTAGAAGTACAGTAAGCAAGTAACATAATATTAGGCCTGCAGCAAATATAAATTCCAAGAAAGTGCAAAATCACTCTTGAAATCACCACTAGACAAGCAGAATAAAATTGAACTCAAATCGTGAATTTGTTAAATAAGAAACTATGAAAATGCTTCTCTACTTCTGAAGCAAGAAGCAAATATAACAGGTGAATACTTACAGCAATTGCACAAGCTGTATATCCAGGCTTTTCACGAGAATCCATTCTTGAACAAAGTAGAAGCAGCACCCCAACATACCATGGGACTCCAGCGAGGAAGAAACCGATAATAAACCTTCACAAAAGAAGAATAATTATTGCACCGCAAATTGAAATCACTAGTCAGCATGTACATTGGAACCAATAACTCAAAGATATCCAGCTTTAAATAAATAATTAAATAATAAAAAAAAAATCATTAAATCAATAGCAGCATTATGTAGCAAAGAAGTACTTCCATACAAAGTACCATGATCAATTATACAACTTCAAAGCATGAACCTAGAATGAAATGCACAGTAAGTGTACAATTTACAGGAGTTATTGAGGAACTATCAGAAGAAAGCTCTACAATGTTAAGTGAGTTGCAAGAAATGGTAGAAGACATGTCAGTAACTGAACAACTTAAATAACAAACATCAGTATTTCATAAAAAGAATAACTAAGGATATTAGAATGTGTAGAAGCACCAATCATTACATCATTTATTTACTAACACGTGTCGATAAGTGGAGCCAGATTCCGAATATGCAGAGTGAATATGATGAATTAAAATGACGTGTAGAATGTGCGCCAATTAGGAAGCTTGGAATGCTTGTCAAAGAATCATGACACTATAATAATTCAGTATATGTACCTTCTTGCATTAAATGGTTTTCTTGTTTCCATTTTGCCTTCAAATAGATTATGTTGGTTTGATAAACTCGCATATTTTGAAACAGAATTAGAATCCAAAACTTTATTATCGTTTACTCCAAATTGGATTAGAAAGAAGATCTATTGACAGTTGTTTAATGCAAAGTCCCGACAACCATCCATATAGCAAACAAACAAGAAAAACCTTCTCCAGATTTTACTTACAAGAACCAGCCAATGCCAATACCACAGCAAGGTAGACGGTGCCCCCTTACAGGCCTTCCTTCTGCAACAACATAACCTGCATTGGCATGGAAATTGGAAATGTATTCATTAGCTATCAACAGATCCCACAAAAAAGGAATCAATTGAAATTTGCAGAATCATTTTATCAAATCACAGCCACAATCTAATAAGTCATAGATAGGACAATCTTTTTTCTAATTGCAACAAATCCTTAAGGTTGCATTTTCTGAAATATAAATTTCTAAAACACCATCAAATAGCTCTGCAATTGATCTTTCAACATAACTTGGTTCACATAATCAAAACACGGAATTAAGGAACAAATTTTCCTTCTCCTAGGGAAAATCCACCAAACATTTTTAGCAAAGGAATTCTACAAAAAAAAGTCCCAATTTAAGAACGCCTGATATGAGATCCATATCCATCAAGGAAAAATTGAACTCGATTCATAGCAAAGCTATGCTATTTTATGGTCAATGCTCAAAAATGGCTTCAATTATCCAACGATCTGAAGAAATACATACTAAAACCGAATCTTCCTCAACGATTTGACTACAGGAACTCAACCTCGCTGCACATCAACAAACACAGAAACAGACCACGGGTGCCAAATTAGCCTTACCTGGGACAGCTTGATAGCCACGAGCATAATGCTCCGACGGTGGTAGAGGTGTTCCTCCAGGCATACCTGGCGGCGGAACCGGGTGAGGCAATCCAACCACTGTCGGATTAGGATAGTTCATCACACCCTGGAACGTTCCGTACTGAGGCGGTGACTGCTCATGTTGGTGACCGGCGAAATCCTTCTTCTCCTCACTCATGGCTGTACCTTCGACGGAATTACAGATTCACTAGAAATTTTCCAAAGCGTATATCGAAGATCTACTGTTGAAATCTCAGAAATATCGCAGGGATCATTGAATAGCGGTCGCGTTCAATAATAATCAAATGGAAGAAAATTTCAACATTACTCCCTGTAATTACAAAAAATAGAATATATGACCCCAATAAAAATAGTTTTTATTTATAAAATTATTATTTAAAAATATTAAATGAAATTTTTATTTTTATTTTTATATTATATTAAAAATTAATATTTAGAATTGAGGTTTGAAAATGAAAATTCAAATTACAAATTTATTCATATTTTTTTTATTTATAATTTTAAAACTTTAAAAATTGAAAGGTATACTGTTTTTTAAAAAAAATATGAAGTTTTTTCTAAAAAATTTAATACTTTATATTTATTATTTTTATATTATTTATTAAAACAAATTTTATATAAAAAATATTTTTTCAGATCATTTCACATTATAAATACACCCAAAAATTCTAAAATTCATTTTGTGCGCATGTAAGTTAAACTAGTGAAATAAAGACTGCAGCGTGTTATAAATCAAACTCATTTTATATTTAAATATTAATTATTATATAAAAAATATAATATAAATTTAAAAATAGTAAAATATAATAATATTTATATAGTAGATTAAGGAGAAAATATTATTATTTTACATTAAAATATTAAATAAATAAATTAATAATAAAAAATATAATATATATTTATTAAAATAGAATTAATAAAATTACTGATGAGCATAATTATTTATTATAAATAAATCAGATAGAAAAAAACTAAAGAAAAATAGCTGAGTAATTATTTTAAATGTAATTTTTATTAAACTCTCTAATTTTAAATTTAATTTTTTTATTTACTTTATATACACTAAATTTTTATCATTTACTCCATATTTTTATTAATTTATTTTTCTTTGTTCTCTATTCACTTAAAATTCATACAATATATTTTTTTTTCTTTTAACTTCAATTTTTTTTATTATCTTCACATATGATCCTTAATTTCTATCATATGATTTCACTTTTTACAATTAAAAAATAGACAAATAAGTAAATAGATAACAATATAAAAAGTAAATAATTATAAAATAATATATATATATATATTTACAACCCTTAAATAATAATACAAAATATTTATAAAAAATTATTAATGTATGTAATACTCAATTTTACAAATACTGTTAAACAATAAGTAGATTAATTATTAAATTTTAATATAAAATATTTATAAAGAATATTAATCTTTGATTGATTAAAATATAAATAAATTAATGAACATGTACTTAGAATATTTTGTATCGTTAGTCTTCATTTTTCTAAATTTAAAATAATAAAATTGATCATTGGTTACACAAATTAAGAATTTTGAGTTATATTAGGTATATAAAATTATAAATTAAATATTATTTTGAGAAAAAAATTAAAAATTTATAAGTAAAAATGTGTAAAATTATAAATAAAAAATTATAAAGAATAAATAAAGAATTAAAAAATATATATATATAATTGGACTAATAAAAAAAATTAATTTACGAAATAAAAATTTTAAGAGAATTATCCTTATTTTTTATTTTTAAATTCAAAATCTTTTTGCACAGAGCCGCAAACAAACACACCAACGCGTCCTTATTGACGACCTACTCTCAAACGACGTTCAAACACGATGACGGCGATCACACCAAAACCTCCGCCACCCTAAAATGGCGACGGCAGGCACCAAGTTACCTATAAAGGACCCAAACCCAAACCCATATCACCACTTCCAATTTCCGGTTTCAAAACTCCTCTCAGCTCGCTTGCTCGCACTTGACTACTATATTCCCCAAACTTTGCAGCTACATAGGTTTGATCTTACTATAACCTTATGCATTACTTCTTTTTTTTTTTTTTTTTCACTTCTGTTTTGTTTCTCATCCTGAATCGGGTGATTTTCGGCAGGAGATAAATGATATCCGGTAGCTGAGAGTTATTGTGAAACTTTCTCGATTGGAGGTGTAAAGGTTTTTCATCTTCTCGCCTGATTGGAAGTGTTGAATTGAATTTTTTGGTTTTTGTTTATTTGGAAACGTTTCGTTATGAAGAATACTTGAGCATGGCTTCTCTGATCAATTTGGTTGGTGTGAATAAGATATCATCTACAGGAGATTCCGATGGTCCTGTATGCTTAGTTAGTAGGGTTTCTTTTCAGAGAAATGGACTTAGTTTTAGAAGATTTTGGAGCAGCAGTGATTGGCCTTATTCTTGTGTATGTAAATGTAAATATTCTGCGACAGCTGAAGGGAATTCAATGCCTAATTCCACATATAGACGTAGCAATAGTGATAATTCTAATGATAAATACAGAAGAGGAGCTCCGAAGCCGATGCTGAAGCCTGTTCCCAAAGTCGATCCTGGTTTCACAATGTCTTGGGATGAAGTTAAACATAGTAGGAAGTCAGAGAATGAGAAGTTAATGGATGGAGAGGAGAGAAGTAAGGTTAGTGAGTCTTTGGGGGAGGTGTTGGAGAAGGTGGAGAAGATCAAGACTGGTAAGAAGGCGAGCATCTTTGTCAACAAACCTCCGGATGATGGTAAAACTGCTAAACCTGTTAATTCGGTAAAGAATTTCAAGAGTAAGACAAAGACTTTCAAGAGTGTTTGGCGGAAGGGCAATTCAGTTGCTACTGTACAAAAGGTCGTGCATGAAATACCGAAACAGGAGCATAGAACCGATGCTCCAGAGGTTGATGCCTCTGAATCTGTTTCTCAGTTAAGATCCCATCAACCGCCTCAGAATGTTCGCCTGAAGCTACAAGGAAAACCCCCTGTAGATGCTAATGGAGTTGATTTGGCCTCTGAGCTGAAAGTGCAGAAGCCAATTTTACGGGACAGGTTTGCTTCTAAGAAGCCGGGGGTCGATCCTCTCCTTGCTCAAGCAGTTTTGGCCCCTCCAAAACCAGGGAAGAGCATGGTATCTGGAAAATTCAAAGATGAATATCGAAAGAAAGGTATCCCATCTGAAGGACCTCCCCGAAGATGTATGGTTGATGATGGCAGAAAGATCTACGATGAGGATACAGACGAGCTAGATATTTCCATCCCTGGTGCTACTGCTGCTCGGAAAGGTAGGAAGTGGACGAAAGCAAGGAGAAAGGCAGCTAGGCTCCAGGCAGCTAGAGATGCTGCACCTGTCAGGATGGAGATAATGGAAGTTAACAAAGATGGAATGCTTACAGAAGAGTTGGCATGCAACTTGGCCGTTAGTGAAGGTGAAATTCTTGGATATTTGTACTTGAAAGGCATCAAGCCTGATGGGGTGCAGAAGCTGAGCAATGATATGGTGAAGATGATTTGCAATGAGTATGGGGTGGAAGTCATTGATTCTGACCCGACCAAGGTTGAAGAAATGGCGAAAAAGAGGGAAGTTCTTGATGTAGGTGACTTGGATCAATTGGAAGATAGACCTCCTGTCTTGACTATAATGGGCCATGTTGATCACGGAAAGGTTAGGATAACTGTTTTTTATTTTTTTCGATAATCTCTGTGTTCAATGTTGTGAATATACTAGAGTATTGTTGTGCACAAGCTAATAGGTTTATCTTCACTTGCAGACAACGTTGTTGGATTATATCCGAAAGAGTAAGGTGCACATGCCACTCCCATTTTATTCATTATTTTTTAAAAGAACATGTTTTACGTAAACGGTTTGCTGACTGTGATGTTTTTAATGGAAAGTGGCTGTTGGATAGGATTTTTGAGGAAAAAATGGTATATTGAATCGTAAAAATGCGAGGAATAAAAAAAAGTGAAAGCATCTGACTCAAGATTACTTTTGTTTTGGGTTTTGATGTTTTTGAGATAAGAATAATAAATTGAATAGTGTATTTTTATAAAGAATCGTGACGTTTTCATAGTAAAGAAAATTAAAAAAATCTAGAAAGGGACAGAGCTTTGATATTTGGAAAATTCATGTCTTGTAAAAGCTTCAAGAAAAAAAAGAAAGTTGCTTTTTTTTTTTTCATGAATTTGTCTTCAAATTATTTATTAACATTTCTATTAAGGGAGCTAGTTTGCAATTCATTTCATTTATTAATAATGAGCGACAGGGTTACTCAAACATCACCACTTGCATGTGGTGACAATGAAGCTGCACTTATACCATTCAATTTATAGGTAGCTGCAGGTGAAGCTGGTGGTATTACACAAGGAATCGGAGCTTATAAAGTCCAATTACCAGTCGATGGGAAAACACAAACATGTGTTTTCCTTGATACACCTGGGCATGAGGTAATATTGTTATTGTCTTATCATACTACTTCGTTCTTTTTTAGCATTCGTTCTCCGTAAATGCTTTGGCACAGGTTCTCAGTGTCCATTTGGGAAGTTGTTTCGCATTGTGCTTGTATGCTGTACTTTGTAATTTGATTAACTTACACAGGCATTTGGTGCGATGAGAGCTCGTGGCGCCAGAGTAACAGACATTGCTGTCATTGTAGTTGCAGCCGATGACAGCATCCAGCCTCAAACAAATGAAGCTATTGCTCATGCCCGAGCAGCAGGGGTGCCCATTATTGTAGCTATAAATAAGGTATTGTGCTACTGTGTCATTTTCTTCTCAATTATGAATTTTCTCATGGCTTCAATGCAATTTTGATTTATTAATCACTACAGATCGATAAGGATGGGGCTAATCCAGACCGAGTTTTGCAAGATCTTTCTTCAATTGGACTGATGCCTGAGGACTGGGGCGGAGATATCCCAACGGTTAAGGTGATATTTCTGGTTTTATGGTGTTCCCAAATCCTCTCTCATCGAGCAAATATCTTTTCTCCGTAGAAGCTAAATTTTACATCATTCATTTATAACAGGTAAGTGCGCTGAGAGGTGATAATGTTGATGAGTTGCTGGAAACCATCATGCTCGTTGCTGAGGTAGCTAATCCACTCTTTGATTTTGGTAGTTCCTAAAATTTTGAAAATTCCTTAAATTACACTACTTTTATCCTGTTCATCCAATAAATACTGCCATGGCGCCTTGTTTTGTTAACATGAGTCCTTATGCCATTGATTAAGAAAGTTTTACTTTTAACCACACATGAAGTGTCAATTAAGTATTGTAGTATCCTGAACTGTAATTTTCGTCTCATGATTCAAAGTTGGTTGGGAGAATAAAATAATTAATTTTAGTTGCACATTATTTTGGGGCACCCCATTCAAATTAACAGAAATATATGGAATATAGCATCCTGCCTTTTCATCTAAGTGTAAACATTAACTGTTGTCTTCTTTTTCTTTGTCGAACTTAATAATCCTGAACATTGTGAGATAAAAACTACAAAGTTCGACAATCCACATAGGAATGCTAAAGTTCAGGATAAAAACTACAAAGTTCGACATGAATATCTATGTTGGTTGAGATAGATAAAAACTACAAAGTAAACTCAAGGCACTTTTAGTTCCACATAGATAAAAACTACGAAGTAAACGATCGATGTGATTATCTATGTTGCTTGTTATATCTACTATTTTGTTTTACCTTAATTTAATATGAATTTGGGTCTCAATTTTCTATCTTAAGTTACAAGAACTCAAGGCCAATCCACATAGGAATGCTAAAGGAACTGTGATTGAAGCTGGCCTTGATAAAGCCAAAGGACCTGTGGCTACATTCATTGTGCAAAATGGAACCCTCAAGAAAGGAGATATAGTAATTTGCGGGGAAGCCTTTGGAAAGGTTTGCATGAGTTATCGAACATGTCCGAGATTCCTTACTAGTCGCACCTATGTTAAAAAAATGCCCTTGTCATTTATTGAATTTCAGGTGAGGGCTCTGTTTGATGATAACGGAAAACGGGTTGATGATGCTGGCCCCTCTATACCTGTGCAGGTGTGTTGCTTGTTGAGCATATTTGTATTAATTTTGTTTTAATTGACAAGTTGAATATTGTGGTGTCGTAAAGTAGCTATCTGTTTATGTTTAAAGCATTTGCTTTGGTACTTTCTGATTCTGATCATTATTATCGTCATTATTAGTATTATTACTTACGTAAATTGCCAGGTGCTTGGATTGAATGGTGTTCCATTAGCGGGTGATGCGTTTGAAGTTGTTGGCTCCATTGCTGCAGCTCGAGAAAAGGCTGAGGAACGTGCAGAGTATTTGAGAAATGAGCATATAACAGAAAAAGCAGGGGACGGGAAAGTCACACTGGCTTCTTTTGCCTCGGCTGTATCAGCCAGAAAGAACGGTGGATTAGATTTGCATCAATTAAATATCATACTGAAGGTTGATGTTCAGGTATGCGTATGTTCATCCTCTAATGATCAACATTTGATAAGTTGATATTGGAGTCGAGCATTGGAAATTCAATAGCTGAGCTTAGTGAATATTAGGGCCATCTGCTTTGACCACAAGTGTGTATTTACTCGTTGATTGTTAGGGATCAATTGAGGCGGTGAGACAAGGTCTGCAGGTGCTTCCACAGGATAATGTCACACTAAAGTTTATTCTGCAAGGGACTGGAGACGTGAGTACCGGCGACATTGACCTTGCAGGGGCAAGTAAAGCAGTTATTTTTGGCTTCAATGTCCGGATACCCGCTTCAGTCAAGAGCCATGCAGATAACAAACAGGTTGAAGTTCGGTTGTATAAAGTTATATACGAACTAATTGACGATGTGCGGAATGCAATGGAGGTACTCTTGGATCCAGTTGAGGTAAGTGATACGACTAAACGCCCTTATTGTCTGTCATCCCGATATATGGGTTACATTCAGATATATTTGTTTCGATGTTTTATGAGAGAAAATTATTACTATTTGATTTGATATTTTGTAAAATGTTAGTGAAGATGAATAGTGTTAAAAGTTATTTAAAAATGTACGTAAACAAGTGATGGAATCCTGTCATTTTCATGGGAGATTGAAGGCTTGTTATTTATTCTTTCGATCTTACAGGAAAGACTGCAAATAGGTTTGGCGGAGGTACGGGCTGTGTTTGGCAGCGGCAGCGGCCGTGTGGCTGGATGCATTGTGACAGAGGGAAAATTAGTGAAAGATTGCGGGATTCGGGTACTAAGAAGAGGAAAAGAAGTTCATGTTGGTGTCCTTGGCTCTTTGCGACGAGTCAAAGAGATAGTTAAAGAGGTCATTTCCAAACCTTCTTCGAGATTTTCTAATTCATTCGATTAAAATGTTTTCTGTCAATATGATAATAATACCATGCATGGACAATTTTTGGCTTTCGACAAAGTATTTAGGGTGTTCCGTTTGGGCTTGAATGTGATTTTTTCAAAATGAAAAATAAGTATTCGACTTAATATTGTGGAAGATAAGTGCTTAATGTGTGTGTATATATATACACATACATATCTAACATATATATACATGTTCTTTATGATTTGAAATGATCGTACAGGTAAATGCTGGACTGGAATGTGGTATTGGAGTCGAGGGGTTCAATGATTGGCTCGAGGGAGACATTTTGGAGGCATTCGACACGGTGCAAAAGAGAAGAACGCTCGAAGAGGCATCTGCCACAATGTCGGCTGCGCTCAAAGAAGCCGGGATACAATTGTAGAGGGAGACAAAGGCGTCTATCATCAACTCACGCCCGTTGTGGCGAGGAGGTATGTCAAGAGCTCGACATTCATGGATGCATACATACATATTTATCTGTCCATCTAGAGGTGATCTTTTGTAGCAGTTCTTTCATGTTTTTTGAAAATAGATTGAGGTTTATACAAAATGGTTTTTTTAGTGATATAAGTAATAATCCCAATAATACGACAAAAATGCAGCTTTAGCTATGTTTCAAGAACGATTAAATGTTTGATTATGTTGTGCATTAAAAAGAAAATATTAACAAAATCAATGTTGATGCTAATGTTGACGATTTTGCCTCTAAAAGTGCTCGAAAGTTGTTTTGTTTGATTATTTAGGGACTCTTATTTTTGTTTTGATACGACTCATCGGAAATCAAGAATTGGCCTTGGAGGTAGCTATCCGTTAATATTCGAATTTGAATTTGGGTTGTTAATCATATTAATAAGTTGAGCTCAAACTTAAACTGTTATGACGCATATATTGTAGCCCGAAGGTGTTATTATAGAAGGTTGTCAAGTGTATTAGTTCAGACTATTCTTAGAGCTGTTAAACGAACCGAGCCGTTCGTGAACTCAGCTCGATTCGGTTCAGTTAAAGCTCGTTCGCGAACGTTAACAAGCCGAGCCGAGCTGAGTCGAACAACATAAACAGGCTCGTTTGGTCAATGAAAGAGTCTGAGTTTTGTTTTAAATAATATATTTATTATAAATATTATATATACATATAAAATTATAATTTATAAATAAATGAAATATTAATTTAAAATATATAAATAAAATAATTTTTTTTTTTAAATTTATATATAAATTAAATAAATAAGATAAACGAATTCGAACGAGCTTAATCAAATCTAAACGAGCCGAATACGAACGAGCTTAATCAAATCTAAATGAGCCGAATACGAACGTGAGTTCAAACAACAGAAATTCTTAACGAGCCAAGCTGGAACATTACGAACGAGCTCGAAAGCTTAACGAACGAATACGATTTTTGTTCGCAAAAATGTTAACGAACGCTTCAAATTTGGCTCGGCTCTTTCTATATATATATATATATATATATATATAGACCTCCATTGTAATCAAATAATGAGATAGTAATTTTCACATCAATTCTGACTCTCATTATCTCTCTCTTTAAATTTCCTTTAGCTAACATTTATATATTGTGCATATATATATACATATATTATTATCTATCTATTTATCTATATATATTATTATACTTATTTTATATATTTAATAACAAAAACAACATACTCCAAAAGTTATTGAATCGAGCAAGCTTGGGTTTTTCTGTTTTCTTTTTTTTGAAAAAATGATAAAAACTTTTTTATGCTAATCTTTTATATATGATAAATAAATTTCAATCTTGATTTTGATCAAAAGAAATGTTAGCAAGTCAATCTCCATGATGATAAATAAATCTAAGTTTAAATATAAAATATTTAATAGTTGATCAATGGATGGAAGGACCATGTACAAGAGTAACAAAGTTTTTTTACCATTATCCTAGATCGATACATTTTTTAGTAAATATATCATGTTTTATTGAAAAAAATTTGTAAAACATCAAAACACATACAAACAAACTCCACTAAAAATAAATTAAATGAACATGATAATATTAATTTTACTAATATATATATATTTAAAAAAAAGAAGTTTAATAGCATTATTTTTTAGTTAAATATACATTTGCTATCTAAATATATAGTATCAAATTTTATATAATTAATTACAAACACACATACATATATTAAAAGTGTTTGGTTACGTTTTTAAATTAATTTTACCATCATTAGAAATAATGAATTTCAAAATGGTCCAAATATGTGCTCAAATGTTTGAACACATATTTTAATAAAACAATAATTATTTATTTTATGGTAAAAATAATATATATATATATATATATATAGAAAAGAAAAGAAAAACAATCAATAATATTTACTCTTTTTAATTTGAAATATTATCTTAAAATATTCTTAGTAATAAAACATCAAAATGCATACATACAAACTCCACTTAAAAAAAATTAAATCAAATTCATAGCATTTCAAAAGTAAAACACACAAATAAAACAAACACTTATACACCAACTTTTAAAGATGTATTGTCTTTAGCTATGTTTGTTCTTTGAGATAATTTGAAAAAAAATGTTTTTTTAATGTAAAATATGAAAATTGTATAGAAATATAAAAATAATGAATATTTTTAGAAAAATATGTATATTTTTTTTATTATTAAAAGAATACACCTTTCGATTTTATTTTAAATTTTTATTTTTACAAAATTTTAATTAAAGAAACTCCTAACTATTTGATGAGATATTTTTTTAAAAAAAAACTCATAGTTGAAATAGTAAAATTTGAAAAATTTTGGGTAGAAAGAAACTTATACAAAAGAAAACATACTGTAAAATATATTACAAAAAGATTGATTATTATATTGGCATGCGCAAGCAAGGAGCAGTTCAAAAATTCAAATTTCAAAGTTAGGGTTTCCACGACAACGGTCGAAACGAAATTAACGGTAAGCTTTCTTTTTCGATCATTCGCTTCTCACTCTACCGTCTCTCTCTTTTTCTCTCTTCTGTAATCACTACTGATTTTTGCCAAAAGCATGTTCGATCCCTTTCTTTTTCTCATCTTTTCCTTTGCAATTGGCAACTCTGTAATTATTGCTTTCTCGTTTTTTATATGACTCTTTTGTGCTCTTTGTGTTCAAAACTTGGAACGAATCTGACTGCGACTGACCCTTTCTTTATCAATGGAAGATTTTGAATGGCGTGACCCGCTTCTTGTAACCGCTGAAGTTACTTCCTTGAAGCAGCAAGATCCGAGCAACAGTTACAGTGAATTCGATCGTAAGTTAGCTAGTGAATTCCAAATTCCGATTCGCATTTCCGATTTTGAGGTTTGGTGCAGCTGTTTTAATGATTTGAAATTCGATTGGCAGGTGGATCGCCGAGTTCGTGTAGATTTACAGCTTCGGTTATGGGAAATTCAGATGAAACTAGCCCGACGAAGATCGACGGTAATTTCTTAAATTCTCGGAATTCTCGATGTTAGGTTGATCGAATTCAAAGCCCGTACTTCAAGTTGGATCTTTAGATTCTTATCACTGTCTGGCTGAAAAAACATGTGAATTTCCTCCACAGTTTTCAATCTCTACTTGATCTTCAATTGTTAGTAACACTTAGTTAAGTTTACTTACTTTTTGGGTAATTTTAGGTCGTTTGGCTTTGGGATTTTCATTGACGTCGCCCGATATAGTGTGTATGGGTTCACCTGATGTTAGCAACCAAACATATGAAGAATCACCACAATATTTGATCGATGGTGGAAGACTTGATGTCTCTTTAGAGAATGGAATTGAGGGTTCTAAAACCAGAGATGCCTTCAGGGCTTCAGATGGGAAGATGGACGACTTGAGCACCGAAGCTTCTTTTGAGCTCATTGCTCCTTCATTAGCTGACAAGAACTCAAAAGAAATTTCCACTGTAGTAATAGGGATCAATGTTGGATCCACAAAGCCTGTTGAATTTGAAGGGGCACTACAATTTTCGGAGGACAGTAATTTCAGTGGGGGAGATACTTTGAGCACTGAAGATCCCATTATTGGGCAAGGGGATGGGCTTAGTCTCTACCAAAGCGCTCGGTTCGGGGATTTTTCGTATAATTTTGAGAATTTAGAACCTGGAATGTACATGGTTGATCTGCACTTTGCTGAGATTATGTTCACCTCTGGTCCTCCGGGAATGAGAGTGTTCAATGTTTTCCTGCAAGAACAAAAGGTATATACAAATGATTAGTGGAGAAGACCATGTAAGTACTTTGGTTTCAAATGTGCTTAATTGGTTTGAACTTGCAGGTCATATCTTGTTTGGATATCTATGCGCAAGTCGGTGCCAATATACCTTTGGTGGTATCTGATCTCAAGGCTTCCATCGGTAAGGAAAAGGGCTTATCCATTCGATTCGAAGGAGTAATGGGAAAGCCTATTGTGAGTGGCATTTTTATCAGGAAAGATTCTTCTGAAAGTAAGCCCAAGTGAAGATTCTAAACTATACTTTCCTGCTTTTGTGACATTCTCTATCGGTACTAATTTTTTATTCACTGCTTTGCTGATTTCAGGTGCTGAAGATGTCAATTTAGTAGAAGAAGTGGAATTCAGGCATACGGCACTGTGCAAATCAGTGAATGTATTGTAGATTGAAACTAAACATTTTAAAGCTTTGGTTGTAATCAGCTGTAGAGCAAACTCACTAAATATTGGTATTTTTTAGGATGCTAGAAGTGATTCCATTGGCCAGGAACCACATGGACCTGAACTGGAAGAACATGCACTGCAGAAGGAGGAACTCTTGGAAACAAAGAGGGCTTTGGAAGAGCTAAAGAGGGAAAATGAGCAGAAAAGCAGAGAATGCCAAGAAGCTTGGAAATCTTTGAAAGAACTTCAGAATGAGCTTATGCGCAAATCGATGCACGTTGGATCACTGGGTGAGGATTAGCTTTAACAGTGGATGCCGTAGGCTGTGTGCATTAGTTCACTCTCTTTGTTGATTTCCACTTTTGTAGCTTTTGCTATTGAGGGACAAGTGAAGGAAAAAAGCCGGTGGTTTTCTTCTCTTAGAGACTTGACGAGAAAATTTAAGGTACATCAGAAGTCACTATATTTCTAGTTCGATGTGGTGCATAGATTTAATTATAATTCATTCTTGACAGATTCTGAGGATGGATCACCTCAGTCTTTCACAAGATGCTTTGAACTTCAAACAGTACTTGATGGAGATGGAGAACATCAGATCCATTGTTCAGTCTACAAGTAAGTTTCTCCTCATATTTTCTTACTATCAATGTTCATGTACATTAGCTTATTATGATGTATATCTGATGTTTTGAATTTTTCTGTTGGCAGTGAATCAGCACGCACAATTACACGAAGATGTTAAACTTAAATTCCTACAGGAGGTTAAGGAGAAGAAAGAACTTTATAACAAAGTTCTAGAACTGAAAGGTATGGATGAGTCGAGCATTTCAGATAACAATATAACACAATACTCTAATTGTGGTGACAATGTTTATTTTGTTTTCTCAGGGAACATTAGAGTATTTTGTCGGTGTAGGCCATTGAACAATCAAGAGATCGAAGAAGGAGCTTCAATGGCTGTTGACTTCGAAGGCGCAAAGGATGGGGAATTGATGGTTAAATCGAATGGGATATCTAGAAAGAGCTTTAAGTTTGATGCTGTCTTCAGTCCTGAAGCTAACCAAGGTGTGTTTTTGTTCAGTTCATGTTTGGTTCTTGATTATATTTTCGACTTTCTCCTCCTAATGATAGTTACTCCTCTGAATGTAGTTGATGTATTTGAGGAGACAGCTCCACTTGTAACATCGGTTCTAGACGGATATGATGTTTGCATATTTGCTTATGGGCAAACTGGAACTGGCAAAACTTTTACAATGGAGGGAACAAAAGAAGCTCGCGGGGTAAACTACAGAACACTTGAGGGACTATTCGACATCATTGAGGAGAGAAAGAACACATTCCAATATGAAGTATCTGTGTGTGTCTTGGAGGTATACAATGAGCAGATAAGAGATTTACTAGCTTCGGATTCACAGCCTAGTACAAGGAGGTAGATCAAAACTTCATTTGTTTATGCAAAATGAAAATGAAGCGATAGTCTAGACATCACTGACAATAGATTATATTAGTAGAGTCAACTAATCTAAAAAAAATTGGAGTAATTCCAGGCTTGATGTTAAACAAGTAGGCGAGGGAGGACATCACGTACCAGGGCTTGTCGAAGCACGCGTAAACAATGTCAATGAGGTTTGGGAAGTTCTTCGAACTGGAAGTAATGGAAGGGCTGTTGGATCAACTAATGCCAACGAGCATAGCAGCCGGTCGCATTGGTTAGCCTTTTGTCTCTGCACATTATTACATCATATCAAGAAGTTAGATTGATGCTGAAAATGTCGATTTTCTTGAATGCAGTATGCACTGTGTAATGGTGAAGGGAGAGAACCTACTCAACGGAGAATGCACCCGAAGCAAGCTGTGGCTGGTTGACCTCGCTGGAAGCGAAAGGATAGCTAAGACAGAAGTGCAGGGCGACAGACTAAAAGAAACTCAGAACATAAATAGATCGCTTTCGGCACTTGGAGACGTAATATCTTCGCTTGCTACTAAGAGCCCTCATATTCCTTTTCGGTATGAAAACATTCACCATGTTTGCATTCAAGGATTTTCTACAGGACAGCTTTCTAAGCTTTGATTTTTGATTTTTCACTTTCTATGTTTGGTGTAGGAATTCGAAACTCACCCACTTGCTTCAAGACTCTTTAGGTATTTGAATCTTATGCTTATATTTGTGATTACAGCAAACTTTCAGCAAATAATAAGTGTTTTTTACTTGATGCAGGAGGAGATTCAAAGACACTGATGTTTGTGCAAATAAGTCCCAACGAAAATGATCTGTCCGAGACTCTTTGCTCGTTGAATTTTGCCAGTAGAGTTCGGGGGATAGAGCTAGGCCCTGCAAAGAAGCAGATGGACAAGATTGAGTACTTTAAATACAAGCAAATGGTAATGTAGTTTCTGTCTAAATTCTTGTTCTGGCCGATATCATCATGTATGTCTAACCTGAATTCGAAACTGTTAATTTGATGTTCAAAAAGGCTGATAAGTTAAGACAAGATTTAAAGAGCAAAGAATTTCAAGTTAAGAAGCTGGAGGACACTAACTATGGCCTTGAGGTAAAGATAAAAGAGAGAGATGCAAAAACCAGAAACCTGCAAGAGAAGGTATGCACTGTGAAAGAGTCCATTTGTGGCATCCCTCTGAATTTATGCACTAAAAACATCTTCGGCATATGATCCATATCTATCATTTGCAGATCAAAGAATTGGAATCACAGCTGTTGGTAGAGAGGAGGCTAGCCCGGCAGCATGTGGACACCAAAATTGCAGAGCAGCATCAGCTGCAGCAACGGCAAGAGGAGCACAACCGCGAACCAGGAAGATCGCCGCTTACAGCTAAAGCAAATGTGAATTCTCTATCCGCTGGAAGTGGCGAATTCTCATTTCGCCCGCCTTCCCTGGATGGATACGCCAAGATCAATGACGACTTCATTGATAAAGAAAACAATCCTGAGATTGCTGAACAACTGCAGCTGCCAAAACCAACTGGCCGAATGTCCCTTTGCCCTGCAACCAATCCACGGCGCAACTCTCTCATCCCACGTCCAAGTTTACCGGGGACAGCTAAACTCCCCCCTCCATTTCTTCCACTGACTCCAATTCAAGCTGATGCTGCAACTGAAGTCGCTTGTCCCCCTGAACATCTGCCTTGTGATAGTCCCAAAGATCAAAGAAACCGAAACAAGAAGCTGAGCAGTGCACTAAGAAGAAGCCTCCAGAGGAAAATCCAAGGCAAGTCTCCGATGCAGCCACCCCTAAGACGAGTGGGAGTGAATGTTGGCATTGAGAAGCTAAGAATTTCAATAGGGAGTCGAGGGAAAACCGGGCAACGAATGTTTCTTGGAAACGCTAGAAAAGCTCAGCAGAAGCAGCAGAACCACAGGGAAAAGGAAAGAGGATGGAACATTGGAACAGCTACAAGAACACTTGTATAGAGGTGTGCATATATAATATATATAGATCTATATCTATATGTGGTATTTATGTTCAGTTTTACACTAACCCTGCACAGTAGGATTTATGACATTGATTCTTCTTGTCTTCTTCTTTCTAGTTTTTCTAAGGGTTGTCGTAAAGACCATGTCTTCTTTGTCGTTTTTATGATGATTCTTGTCATCTCTTGAAAGTCTGAATTTTATTTGATTTGAAGTAAATTGAGTTGCTCCTGTACATTAAATTGATTGATTAGAAACTCCCATTTGGTTTCTTTTGTCATCTAACCATTCATTCATGATTCGCTAACAAATTAAGCAATGAAAAATGTTTACACTGTGTGCTCTTTGTAGCTTCATGGCAGCCTTAAAAATGAAGTTATCAAATGTTCAGGTCAGGACATCTCACTGATTGCATCATAGGAAAGTGATGACATAGAACTAACTAAACTAACACACATTGCAGAAGGTTCATTATTTGTCAGCTATAATCCTCTCCATCGAGAGGCGACGTCGGAGATGGCAGCGTATTCGTTGTTCCTTCTCTCGCATCGACAAGCATTGCGATGACTTCCCTCATTGTTGGTCTGTTCAGAGGCGACGTGCTGGTGCAAAACAGCGCGATTTTAAGTACCAGCGACATCTCCTCGACTGTTCTTGCAGAACTAAGATCCAGTCTCGGATCGAATATAATGGATCCAGTCTCCAAGCTTTGGACAGATCTCCTCACCCAGGTCGCCAGGTCGCCGCCCTGCTCGAGCGGCTGCACCGGAGACTTCCCGGTGATCAGCTCTAACAGGACCACTCCAAAGCTGTATGTATCACACTTCTCTGTCACTTTCATTGTGTAGGCGTATTCTGTCGAGGAAAACGTCGTAGGATTAACAGGACATTGTGCTAAAATGTTAGTTAAAGATCGTTCGGTTTCTCTTACCAGGAGCAATGTAGCCGTAGGAGCCAGCAACGGCGGACATGGACTTCGACAAGGGGAAGTCGATCAGCTTTGCCAGGCCAAAATCTCCTACATGCGGCTCGAAGTACTCATCGAGTAAGATGTTGTTCGACTTGATGTCGCGGTGTATGATCTGCGGCTTACAGTCGGAGTGGAGGTAGCACAGGCCTTCGGCTGCTCCGAGCGCAATCCTGTACCGCGTGTCCCAGTCGAGCATGCTCGCCGTCTTGTCGCTCCCGTGGAGCACCTCCCCGAGGCTGCCGTTCGCCATGTACTCGTACAGGATAAGATTGCTGTCCTGGTGGTAACAGAAGCCGTAGAGCTTGACGATATTCTTGTGCCGGATCGACCCCAGCGTCGATATCTCAGCGCGGAAGCTGTTGTCCGAGCTCGCGCCTTCCCCGCGCGCCTTCAGCTTCTTGACCGCGATCGCTTCGCCACCGAACATCACTGCCTTGTAGACGACTCCGCAGGCGCCTTTCCCTACAACAGCTGTTTCCGAGAAGTTCCCTGTCGCCTCCACGAGGTCCTGATAGGTGAAACCTTCTTTCGGGAAGTAGTAGCCGTCCAATGCGTCGATTTTCAGCTGCTGCTCGAGCGAAGCGAAGTCAGGCTTCGTCGGGCGCCTCATGATCCAGCAAACGACAGCGATGAAAGTCAGGGAGACTGCGCCGACGCAGATCGATACAATGCTGACTATCTTCTCTCTTGCAGACGACGACGACGACGACGAGCTGTCTTTAGCTACACGGCGGCAATGGTTCGAGGCTGATATGCACAGCTCTTTGTTCCCGGCGAAGTTGCTAGAATCCATCCGCTCGAACGCCTGCGTGTCCGGAATAAATCCGACAAGATGATTATTGGAGATGTTGCATTCCATTAGGCTCCTCAACCCGCCTATCGAAGTAGGAACTTCGCCGCTGAGTCGATTATCGTTCAAGTATAACGATTCGAGCATCTGCAGGCTCCCCAAGCTAGTCGGGATGGAGCCGGTGAGCTCGTTATGGCTGAGGTTGAGGGCTATCTGGAGGCCTGTAAGTTGTCCTAACTCGGTTGGGATACTCCCGGAGAAGAAGTTCCCTCCCATCTGAAGCTCGGTGAGTCGAACAAGAGCTCCGAAGGTTCCTGGAATCGGTCCGGTGAAGTTATTCTCCATGATCTTGAGCAACTCCAGTTTCACGAGCTTCCCGAGCTTCTCCGGAACGGCGCCGGTAAACCGGTTACGGCTAAGATCAAGCCTCTCAAGCTTGACACAATCACCTAACTCCGGAGGGACGCTGCCGGATAATTGATTGGAAGAAACGTTGAATGCGGCGAGCTTGACGAGCTTCCCAACCTCCGGAGGAATGCGACCAATGAATCCGTTATGTGATAGTATAAGTCTCTCCATGTTCTTGAGATTCCCGACTTGGGAAGGTATAGGTCCCAAGAATCGATTTTGAAAGAGCTCGAGCGCCGATAAGTTGTGAAGCATTGTGTACTCGATCGAAAGGCTTCCGGTGAGCAAGTTGTCCCCTAACATCAACTGCTCGAGAGATTGACACGTTTTCAATCCATGCGGAACGTTTCCGGACAACATGTTTGATCCGAGGCTAAGGAAGGTAAGTTTCCGAAATCTACATATATGCGGAGGGATGCCGCCGGAGAGATTGTTCTTCGACAGATTAAGGATCGACAGGTTGCTTTTAGCTCCGAGAAACGGAGGAATGACGCCCTCAAGACAATTGCTAAAGAGCTGAAAATCCTTAAGGAATGGAAGGTTTTGAAACTCTAAAGGGATCGATCCGGTTAAGTTGTTTATAGACAAGTCCAGTTTCCTCAGCTGCTTAAGTTGTCCTAACGACGCCGGAATATTCCCTTGCAGATGATTTTCGAAGAGGTAAAGCAGCTCAAGTCGGGAGATTCGTCCCAACTCCGATGGGATCACTCCTGTCAATCCGTTTTCGGAAAGATCGATCTCAACTGCATTCCAACAGTTTGCTAGCTCAACAGGGATGCTGCCATTCAGCTTATTCGTGTAAAGGTAGAGTCTTTTAAGCTGTGACAGTTTCCCGATCTCTTTGGGGATGGCGCCGGAGAATCCATTGCCGTTAAGGGCCAGAAGCTCTAAGCTCGTAAAGTTGCCTATCTCCGGGGGAAGTTCGCCGGAAAACAGATTGTTCCAGAGGATCAATGAGGTCAGTGTCGAAACATTTTGAAGCTCATAAGGGAATGGCCCTTCAAGCTTATTCTCTGCTAACCCTAAGACAGCTAAGCTCTCACATTTGGCGATGTCGAAAGGGAGAGGACCGGACAGCTCGTTTCGACCGGCTCTGACAATCCTTAAACTTCTCATATTGCCGATGGAAGAAGGGATCGCCCCGGTTAGGTTGTTGCTGTAAATCACAAGCTCTTGGAGATGAACAAGGTCTCCTAAGTTGTCAGGGATTTCGTCGTAGATGTAATTCTCGCAGAGGTAAAGTTTCTTGAGGGATGTAATGCTGCAGAGTTGGGGTGGGAAGGGGCAATGTATTCGATTTGTGCAGAGGTCTAGAACCTCGAGGGAGTCGAAGCAGGTGGGGATGGAGCCGGAGATGAAGTTTTGGGAGACATTGATGGCGATCAGGTGAGGGAGCTTGCAAATGGTGGGTGACAGAGTGCCTGACAAGTTGAGGCCAGAGAGCTGCATTGAGACAACCTTGAGCTCAGGTGAGCAGCCTATGCCGGTCCAGTTACAGGGATTGGTCGAGGTCGAGGGATCCCAGGTTTGGAGGTTGAAGAAAGGGTCGGTTAAGGAGTTCTTGAATTCCAATAGAACAGTTGCTTCTTCGTTTAGGGATTGAGATAATACAAAGGATGATATAGCTACAGAGGTAAGCAGTAACAGGGTTTTTAAATGCAAGTCTTTCATGGATGATCCCATGGCTGAATCGGAACAAGAATTTGTATATGTCGACAGAAACAGCAACAGCAAGAAGAACTACTTGAAAGAGAGGGACAGACAGGCCCCCAAATATACTTACAACAGAATTAATGTTGAAAGTGGGCAATCATGAAGAGGAATTTGGGGGAAATCTATGGGAAGAATGGGAAATGTGTAGATTTGATTGGTGTAAGAAAGGGATGATGATGATGATGAAGAATTGATGATCCCTTCCTTTCCTCCTCCTCCTCCTCCTCCTCCTCTTCTTCTTCTTCTTCTTCCCTGATAGGGCATGGAAAGGAAAATGAGGAAAGGGGATGGATTGAAGAAGCTTTTTGGTGAGAGAGAGATGAAAGGTGAAATCAAGAAAAGGGTCACAGAAAATATATAATAATGGTAATAAAAAGGAAAGTTGCAGGTTTTGATTGACAAGGCAAGAAACAAGAGGTAGAAGAAGCATGGAAGTCACAATCCAAACAAGGGCTTAATTAAGGGAATGAATTGATGAATTGGATTGAAAGAGATGAGATGAGATGAGATGTGAGAGAAAGCAAACAAGGGTCAACCACAACGACAACTGTGTATCTCTCTCTCTCTCTCTCTGTAAGTTAATAAAGTGGTGATGGAACTTTTAATGTGTAGAGCATGTGATGTTTGTGAGTGGTGAATTCTGAAGCTCCACAACCACCACAGTACACATACACATACATATACATATACATATACATATACAAGTTCCTTTTTTCTTTCTTCATCTCTCTAAGTGAAAACCATCATTTCTTGAAGTGTCCATTATTGGCAGATGCAGCACACACAACTGGGGGCAACTGGGATTGAAATATCTGGTGCTTTTGGTGCAGATGGTGGAGAGAGAGAGGGGTAGTGGTAATGGTATTGGTATTGGTATGGGACAGAGATAGAGATAGAGATAGGGATGGGACATGGGAATTCTAGGATTGCAATCTTTTACCATTTGAATTTGAATGTTGTTGTGCCCTAAAAATTAGGGGATTGGATTCATTCTTGAGGGAGGAAGAGAGGTTTGGTTTTGTTTTTTAGTGAGAGAGAGAAAAGATGGGATGGGGCTTTGAATTTGTTCTAGAAATGCAATGATTTGAAGGATGACTGAAATGGATGAATGAAAGCAAGCAATTGAGCACTGAGTGCTTCAATGAATTGGATTTCTCAGACCTTTATCTACCTATCTATCTATCTATCTCTCTGTAATTTTTATTTGGAAAAAAGAAAATTAATTTTATAATGTTTTGTTTGTTTGGAATGTTTGGGATGATGGGTTAGGCAAGATTGGAAAAAATAGGTATCGGTGGTGGAGGTGATAGGTTGGGTGGATGGTGGATACACATATGAATGAATGAATTAGAAATAAAGAAAGAAAGAAAGAAAGGTGGCTGTAAAGATTTCTTGCCATTTGGATTCATGGATAATTTATGACTTCTATTTCTTTTTATACTTTTTTTTTTTATTTATTAATAGTTTGATTTTAATTTAAATAATATTTTGATATTCTCTCAATTTGAAATTATTTTATTAAAAAAATTTTAAACTAATGATTTCACTGTCACGAGCACCAAATCATCCTTGAGACAAACTCAAACCTCATTTGTTCATATATTAGGTGTCTCAAATGTAAACTATAAACCCCATTCTAGTTTCACATGTAAACATAAATTTCATTCTAATTATTTTTTAAAAAAAAAAAATTGGGTATTTTTTTAATTAAATTAAATTATTTTTTATAGAATATTTTACAAAATATATTTTACCCAAATGATATCACAATTCTTAAAGAAATTTTATAATTTTCAATAGCTAAAAATAAAAATATTAAGGGTGTGTTTGTTTGTAGGGTTTTGGGTTATGATTTTGAATAATAAAATTGTGATTAAGTATTTGACAGAGATATAAATATGTATGGATATTATGTTTTAAATATTTTATTTAAACTTAGGATAATATAATAAATAAAAGTTAAGTGTTTAATTTGATGTTTAAGGGTTTAAAGTTAAGTCATATTTATGTAAGTCATATTCAGTATGCAGACGATACGATTTTCTTTATAGAGGAAAATGCTGAATATTTAATTGTCTTGAAAAGGATTCTTCGTATTTTTCGGTTATGCACCGGTCTGAAAGTAAACTTCGCTAAAAGTCAAGTGTTTGGAATTGGGGTGTCTAACGATCAGCTTGTCAGGGCTAAGGAAATCATGGGATGTAGTATTGGTAATTGGCCATATGCATACCTAGGAGTTCCGGTTGGAGGGACAAACAATGACAAAATGGTTTGGAGACCGATTCTAGAAAAAATTGAAAATTTGTTGTGCCAGTGGAAAAAGAGATCTCTCTCTCAAGCAGGCAGATTATGTTTAATCCAAGCAGTGGAGAATTCGATCCGGTCTTATTTTTTTGTCTATCTTCTGAATTCCAGTTGGGGTTGCAAAAAAGATTGAAGAAATGAAACGTAAAGTTTTTTGGGGGAATGAGGAAGGTAAATGTAAAATACGATGGATTAATTGGGAAATTATCCAAAGACCCTGATGTACAGGTGGTTTAGGAATGGGTGATATCAATATCTCAAATTTAGCTCTCTTATACAAGTGGAAATAGAGATTTCAGTTCGATGAAAAGATTTGGAAGCAGGTTATCACTAGTATTGAGAGTCGAAGGGGGAAGGAAGGTTCACAATTATATCCGGTGTCCGATCTGGCTAGTCCTTTAAATTCGATGTGGGGGTGGATTAAGAAAGGATGGCTATGTTTTGAAGAGATTGTAAATACATAATTTTTCTTAAAAAATTTGATTGGGAATGGGAAAAAGACGAAGTTTTGGGATGATATATGGGTGGATGAGGAGGCATTGAAATTTTGCTTTCCTAGAATTTTTTTCATTAGCAGTTAAAAAGGAATGTATGGTGGCTGAATTTGGTGAATGGTCAGAGCTCAAGTGGGTATGGAAAATTCAACTTAGAAGATCTCTTCTTGATGGGGAAATACAAGTTTGGAGTATGTTCATGGAAGCCATAAATTCATGTTGCCCCCAAGTAGGGGTGGAAGATCGAGTTATTTGGACCGGAGTTAGCAATGGGAATTACTCGGCTAAATCTGGTCGATTAGCTTTAACCTGGAACCCTCTCTTCGCTCCTTTTCTTAAGTTCCTATGGAAAATATCAGCTCCTCCAAAGTATTTATTTATATATGTTGTGGTGGATTTGAAACAGAGCTATTCGGTCCGAGACGCTCTACCAAGTAAAGGAATTCTGGATAAGAGCCAAATTAGCTGTCCTTTTTGCAATTCTCATGCATAGAAGTTTACTTGAGCTATCTGGAATCAAGTGCTACAATGGTTTGTGGTGACCAAGAAGCATTGCATAATAAATAGCTCAATGGCGAGGTTTACTAATAAAGAAAGATGGACTAGAGGTGTGGGAGCTGGTGTTGGTAGTTACAATTTGGAGCATATGGACATCCTGTAACGAGCTAATCTTTTCAGGAAAATCAACGGTTTGAACATGAATTATTGAAAGAATTAACTGGAGCGTCTGGAAATGGATTCATGCAAAGAATCCCTCAATTGAGCCACCAACGGCAGTCCTGTTTGGTAATCCGTCATTGATATCTTTGAGGAATGGTAGAACTAAGGGTCTCAATTGAATAAACATCTCGTGGGCGCCACGGGAAGAAGTATGCTGGAAAATTAATGTTGATGGATCGGCTTTCGGTTGTCTAGGTAATGCCGGGGCAGGAGCAACGATTCGGGATGATAAAGGTGTAATTTTTTTCATACTCTCTAAATTCATTGGAGTGGTTGATTCTAATGTGGCAGAACTTGAAGCATTACGTCAAGTGTTGGTGTGGTTGAAAAATCATATGGGATATCCATTTCCAAGAACTACAATTGAACGTGACTCTTCAACAGTGATAATATGGTGTTTAGGAAAATCGGTGCACCCTTGGAGGCTAGACCGTGAGTTTCACGAAATACGTGAGCTATTAAATTGCGCAAAGGGATTTAAGTTCATTCATATTGTTAGGGAAGCAAACTTTATGGCAAATAATTTGGCTAAACGTGGTGCAAGGGAATGCAAGAAATAGAGGCATGGATTTAATCTCTTGTGAAAGGGGAATCACCTGAAGAACAAGTGGGATTTAATTAATGCTTTTGATCACACGATTGAGTTTTGATTTTTGAGGAAAGATTTGAACATAAAGGTCAGCCTCTAAAGTTTTATTGAGATTTATGTCTTCACCTCTTTGTGTATTTGAGGGTGGTTAGTAAATGTGGAGTTATATTGTATTGTCATATAATACTATAAAATTGTGGTTTTTTTTTTTTAAAAAAAAAAAAAAAAACTACTTTTGGATTTTAATTTTGATATTAGGTATTCCATTCCTCCCACATTTTTTGTCTGGTATATTGTAGATACAAGAAGTTGTGTAAAATATAATAAATAAATAAATAATAATATATTAATAAAAATAATTATTATATAATATAAATAATAATATATAGTAAGATATAACTAATTAATTTAATTAAGTAATTATTGATTATAAAATTTGAAATTCCATTAAAATATATAATTATTTTTCTTAAAAAATGACAAATAAAATAAAATGGATAAAAATAAAAATAATAGACAAAAATGGTGGGACAGAGTCAGTATGTGTTAGTTTAACCTTTATATATACAATAGTTTAATTTAATATTTTATAAAAAAAAAAAAATTATTGATGTATTCGTTTTATAAAATAATTAGAAAAAAGAAATTAAGTGAAGCATAGAAAGTTACTTAAAAAAATATAAAAATAATAAATATACATAGTATTTTTTTTTTTTTTGAAAAAATTGTGTATAAAAAAAAAATTGAAAGAACACATTTTGCATCTATAGCAAGGAAACTAAAAAAATGATTAAGTTAACCTAACCTAAATAGTTTAAAAGAATATATTGAATCATAAAAATAAATAAATAAATAAATAAAAATAAAAAAAGAATTGAACATTATAAAAAATATATATAAATACATTAATGTTTATATGTTAAATTATTAAAAAATACTAATTAAAAAAATAATAAAAAATTGAATGAATCAGGGTATAAATTCATACAATAATATTAACATTGCTGGACCAAGAAAATGAGTTAATGATTTGGGTCGACATTGTCCCTCATGGGTTTCTTGCAAGATCTATATTAGTATTTATTCAATTTTTTTTTTAAAAAAAATAAATTTTAAATCAAATAATTATTTATATCATATCAAATTATTATTTAAATTTAAATTTTTATTATTTAAAAATCCAAAATCCAACTCCACAATCAAATATTTAATCTATACTTTATAAAGACCGATTATACATATATATATATATATATCAGTCTTTTTATTAACCAATGTTATACAAAAATATATTATGTTTGTTTGTTTAGTGTTTTGATTTTTTATTTTTATTTTTATTTTTTTCATGTGAGATAATTGTGCCGGTAATATAAAAAATAATATTGAATATTGAATATTAATTTTTATGAAAAAATAAAATATATATTAAAAATTGTGTAAAAAAATATTGGAAGAACAAACTATTGTTTTATCGTATTATATTTCATTATTATTTAAATTTGAAGATAAAATTAGACAAAAATTAAATAAATTCCTCAAATGTTTACGGAAACACTTAAAGGGTTCGTTCACTCAGCATTTTTTACTAGAATAATTTTTTTAAATATTATTAAAAGAATAATAATATATACATTAAAATAATACATACTTTATCTATTTTAAAAAATCAACATTTTAATATAAAATATTATTTTATATATTATCAACCCAATTTCTTTTGTTTAACCTAAGAAAATATTATCCAAAAAAAAAATGTACAAATCCAAAGTTTTTTAGTGTTTTTTTAAAAAATATATATAAATATATATATATTGTACCCCTATAGAATATTTTATCTTA